AATTCCACTGAAGCTTTTATCTCAAGAGTGTCATAAATAGTTGCAAAAACTGGCGCCAAATTAAAGCCTCATGCGTCATAATTGCCTGATTAAAAATGACAAAAGTGTCGTCTAACCATTCAAATAGCGTCTCGATTAGAAATTCCTGCCATATCTTCGTAATTGCGCCTGCTTAAAATAAAGAAAATATGCATGATGTGGTTGAACCGGAACGGACACTTAATTTTTACCATATACCTGACCGGTGCGCCCACGATTTCAACCCACGAAACACCAAGGAACGTTCCTCAAAACACAAATTGAAAATTCTTTACAAACTTCACACATTTCTTTGAGGATTTATTTTTCGGAATTTAATCCCGAAAGATTTGATACTCTTGGATGAGTCAAGAAAAATAAATTGAAAAAAAAGTAATATATCTTGGGAGATTATTCGTACCCCATCACTTAGTAGAGTTTGTAATGAAAATATAAATTAAATTCCAAGGACTAAATTAGAAACTGTATAAACACAATAAAACGGTTAATAAATTAATATGAAGGATATGTTAATCCTGCAAAGAACATTGTGGGTGTAATAGTCGCATTATTATCCTTTAAAACTTTGACCCGAATTTAATAAGGAAGAAAAATATATTTCCGCTCGTACAATTCCCTCAAACTTTACAAACTGTGGTTCTACCTTTTGTCAATCGCCGTTATCCATTCCATATCTCTTGTGGTTTTTGCACAATTTCAAATAAAATTAAGTGAACGAAATATCGCGGCGTTTCAGCAACATCACGATATAACCCGAAACATCAACAAGCGAGCAACAACTGGCCACACGCTGACTCTAGCATCCGGTAACCGGAGGAATGCGCAAGGCAGCAGCAGGATTGTACTTACCTTCCCTCATTTTTACAATTTTGTCCTGATCCTGTGCATGCGATACAAATGCAGCTTATAATCAAACAAAATGATACTCCTGTAAAGTCTTGGTTTTAGAGAGCTTTTTGGCAAGTTTGGGCAAGTTTAAATGTGACCCGGATTAATTAAAAATCACAGTAATTTGTAACACAAATTGAACAAAAAGCTTATGTGAATTTAACTAAAAAAGTGCATCTGAGCTTTTACAAGCTTTTAAAATGATTGGAAAAACACAGTAAAGCCTCATCACACAGTGGTTTTAAAATGCTCTTAATATTAATTAATGCATAAGTATTAAGAGTTTTTATTGTGGTTAATTTATTTTGATAATTTACAATCTTAAAAATAATGTTTATCAAAATTGCGTTCAATTAAATTCGTGATCCAAGTAGCCTGTAATTCTCAAATTAAGTTTGCAGCTCTGACTAAATATAAAAATTATCTCCACGTTATGCAATGTTACCAATTTAATTTTAAAGTCAAAAACAACTTTGACTAAAATTTTAATTAAACGGATGTTTAAATTGGCAAAATAATCACACATTTACAAAATAAATGCGGAAATAGCTATTTATGCAACAAGTTCCAAATGAGCGTGTTTTTTGCACTAGACACAACGCGTCGTGTGCAAAAAACAGCCATTTTGCATCGTGTTTCATACAAGATTTTTTCCAATTTGGGTTGTAAAAAGCGTAAGCAAAAAATTCTACTTTTAAATCTGTGATTTCAATAATTTTCCACAATCATATTAGTGTCGGGGCGTTGCTATAAAAATAGTGTTATTTGTTATCTTTATTATGTCACACTTTTTAACACTAATGATAAAATAATGTCATATTTCACAAGTAAATGACATATCACAATGATTGCTTTTCACAACCAAATTGAAAAAAGTTATTCTCGCAGAGTTTTTACTAAAATGTTATTACTAAAAATTCCAAAAATGAAACATTACCTAATTCTGGGCAAGTTCTTTTTTGCAAAAAAACGCTTTCAAATAGCAGTGTGCAAAAAAGGCGAAAAATAATTAAATATTCTAACAGAAAAAACTACATAGGTAAGTACTAATTTTTTGTAAATCTATAATTTTTTTTGACACACAAAAAAATCATTGACAAATATAAGAGACAAAGCATTAAATTCTATATTTCAACAACCCTAATGTGGTGTCTCATTATTTTTATTGTAGCTCATCATAATGAATAAAGTTTAACGTTTATTCTACAATAATTAATAAAACTGAAATGTTTGTTCATTTGTGAAATGGTGAAACCCAACGTTTTCCCCGGCGAACCAATTACTTTTTAATTTTCTTAAATGGCAAAGATAAATTTTTTCGCGGTCGGAAATAATTGAAAAGTAGATATTTTATGCAAACATATCGATTTCATTCAAAAATAAGACGACTCAATTTTTAAAGGGCTTATAAATTTTTTATCTAAGACGAAAATCTGGCATACATTTTCCTTAAAATACGAAACCATATTTCATGTATCTGACACTGGAGTTTCAGATTTCATCAATATCAGGCTTTAGCCAGAGCAATGTTTCGGTCTTCTCATTTTCAGAGGCTTTGTTTACAACTTGTGTAATCAATTTTCTCAAAATGTTAACAAGTAGTTAGTAAAAAATGTTATTGTTACTGAAAATTGTTCACAAAATGACAAAGCAAAATAAAATACAAGCAATCTGCAAACATTCAAGAAATCTTTGTTTTTGTTTAATATTGTATTTTTTTCTCTATTGATTCTTTAGCGCTTCGATCTGAACCATGGGAACGGAACGTGGATATTATAGGCTTAAAAATTCAAGGTCCAGAGTGGCAAACCTTAACTTCAAAACGGTGATTTTTAGTTGTTTTCTTAATGTGACCAACTGTCCTAATCCAGAAATAAAAAAAGCAATTTTGGGGTGTTGAAAACCGAGAGATTGAATAAGAATTTTGACATTTTTTGCTGTTTCGTGTTCAATTTGAGTCGTTTTACTAGGTGCCCCATTGGTCTGGTGCATATAAAGTCATCTTAAAGTGTCTAAAACACAAGAAATTGTATGAGGTTTTTGGGATGCTTTTGGGATGCTTTTGGGGTGATTATGCGGTAATTTTTTACAATTTTTTTTCGGTGTCCAATTTTTGGTGGTCTATACCCAAATAAAAATTTAGTTACTTTTAAGATACATAAAAATTAGAGATTTTGGGTCCTAGTCGGTTGTTTCATATACAGGGTGCGCCAAAACTCGCGCCCTATAGAAAAATTTCAAGTAAGATAAGATACCAGAAACATGAAAAAAATGTTTAAAAATTCTATCTGTCAAAAAATTTTGACATTTATTTTTTGACATTTGTCTTTTTTTTTATACCTATTTAATGGTACTGATGATCTTGTATATGTTTTTGTACAATTATTTAGTAAAAGGACAAATAACATTGAACAAAATTACAATTTAGGATACAGCTTCCTTGTTTCCTCTTTTAATAGCCTATAGCAAAAAAAACATAACAAATTATTTTTCCAACAGAAATAAAGAGAGGCAAAGTGCAAACTTTAAACCCTCATAACTTCGAAATTTTTATAGATAAAATTAGCTATAAAAATTTCGAAGTTCTGAGRGTTTAAATTTTGGATTTTGACTCTATTTATTTCTGTTGAAAAAATAATTTTCCATTTTTTTTTGCTACAGACTATTAGAAGAGGAAAAAAGGAAACTATATCCTAAATTGTAACTGAGTTTAATGTTATTTGTGTCTTTTATAGGCATAATTTTTGTACTTTTATTATGTATAAAAACATATACAAGATCATCAGTATCATTAAATAGACATAAAAAAATGTCAAATGTCAAAAAATAAATATCAAAATTTTTTGACAGAAAGAATTTTTAAACATTTTTTTCATGTTCCTGGTATCTTATCTTACTTGAAATTTTTCTCTGGGGCGCGAGTTCTGGCGCACCCTGTATATATTTTTTCCTTTTTCAACAATTTTTGCATAGGCTAGACATCCTAGTTTTTAAGTAAACTATGCCATTTAGGAGTACATACTAAAAAAAAGAGATTTTCTAAAATTTTTAGGGTGCTTTTCAGGTAATTTTGTTTGATTTTAAGCCCCTTTTAACCATTTTTTTCTTGTGTTCAATTTTTGATAATTTATAAACCTTTTATTAGGCTGTTTGGGAATTTTAAAAGATTTTAGCAACTTTTTCAGTAATTTTTCAACGATTTCTGCATGTGTCGAATTCACATAATTTACATACGTTGCCAGTAATACAATTTAAAAAATAACTATTAAAACAAGAGTTTTAAACTATAAAACTTGCGTTGTCTCCAAAAATTTTTCCTACACTAATAATATTGGATCAGAAATTTTACTAAATTCAGAAATTGTTAAAAACAAATTGGCAAAATAAGCTAAAAGTAAGCTGAAATGCACCATAGAAACAATATAGGACAATAAAATGACTTCAATATAGCAATAAAATAACTGTCATTAACGCCAACTTTGTAGTTAAATTTTTATTTAAAATTGCACATCTAAATATTGTTATTCTATTGGACTCTATTCTAATAACGTATAATTGACACTTAACAACACATTTAAAAAAATTATTCCTAAATTAGACAACGAAGAAAATTATTTTTACCTGGAATTTTAAATAGATTATCCATGTAAAGCCAGAAAATCTGTAAAAAATGTTCGCAGTTTTTAATCGTTGAACGACTACAGCCACTCAACAGAGTAATCTAATTATTTTCGCCATTTTTCCAAATGACCTTAAACTTTGTGGTTGAAAATAAAATCAGCTTCGGAAAACTCAGCCTAAATAAACCTGTTTTTCAACTACATCTTAACTGTTAGATAAAATAAAAATAAATGTTTTTTTTTAATAAGATGGAATGAGAATCATAATGAAATAAATTGGAAAGCAAGGAATTTTCCAGTGTCAGAAATAGGTGATTTTAAAAACAATTTAAATATAATTTAAAGTACACGCTTTAATATTTGTAAATGCAAATTGCAAATAGTTTCAGTTTCAAACAAATTAACTTTTGAATGCGTTATTTCAAATCCCCGCATTGCGCTCGGTGGCGCCTCTAGTGTTACAAGAGATGACTACAGGTCGAACAATGACAAAAACAGCGCTACTTTTCTCTCTCTAAAGAGGTTGGTGGTTCGATGGTGCTTGGTGGTCAAAGATGAAGATGGCTGATGGTTCTGTAATTTGGCGACGAAACCGCCCCGGCACCAAAGCCAAGGTAATTCACTCCCAAGCGCACTAGCCCCCAATCAATACTCCCAAACCTCGCCCCTAACCTATCGATCATCTGCAGGACTTCTGTCGATGGCCTGACGAGCCCTTCGAGGAGATGGACAGCACCCTCGCCGTCCAGCAGTACATCCAGCAGCTGATCAGAAACAATCCTGCCAACATCGACCTCATCCTCAAAATGCCCGACAACCAGGACGAGGGGGTGTGGAAGTACGAACACTTGCGGCAGTTCTGCATGGAGCTGAACGGGCTGGCCGTGCGGCTGCAGGGGGAGTGCCACCCCGAGACCTGCACGCAGATGACGGCCACTGAGCAGTGGATTTTCCTGTGCGCGGCGCACAAGACGCCCAAGGAGTGCCCCGCCATTGACTACACGAGACACACGCTCGACGGGGCCGCTTGTCTCCTCAACAGCAACAAGTATTTTCCGAGCAGAGTCAGTATTAAGGAGTCGTCGGTGGCCAAGTTGGGGTCGGTCTGTCGGAGGGTCTACCGGATTTTCTCGCACGCGTATTTTCACCACAGGTCGATTTTCGACGAGTTCGAAAACGAAACGTTTCTGTGCAAACGATTCACGCAATTCGTCACCAAGTATAATCTCATGTCGAAAGATAATCTCATTGTTCCGATCCTCGAAGATGAAAACACACCAGGCGAATCCGAGGCGTAAACTTTAACTAAATTCAATGTTTTTCCGACATACCACCGTTGGTATTAACGACTTGTTCATACTGAACAGATGGGCTTTTTTCGATTCGGTTTACATTACTTTTCAAGCATCAACTGTATTATAAGACATCTCAGATTTTATTTTTTCACCTACATTTTTATTTGTGGTGTTGTGCTCGATATGCTTTTTTAAGCAACTCACCATTGAGTGGAAATTTATTTTGTTAAATTGATATAAGTCATGTAATATATTTATTTTCAATTAGAAGCTGTCTAGGGATAGAAAATATGACAAATAAATAACTATACTAGGAATTGGATTTAAATTTCCCGCACCAAATTTATAGCCAAAAAAGGCTAGTAAGCAGTGAAAAAATTAAATTGATAATTGAGTCAAATGATTATTATGAAAGAACCAATCACTGTTTTTTATAATCCCATTGTAAAGTCACATGACATGAGGTTATCCAATAATTTAAGTCAAATTAAAATGAAAAATTCACAGTATTCATATTCTGTTCTTTTTGATTGACATTTAAAAATAATTCATATTCACTGACATTTTTAGTATACAGTATGTCCCCGGATTGGGTTTACAAGAGGAAAGAACTTTTTATCTTTAATTTCACGCCAAAACTGCAAAGGAAAAACATTTTTTGCTTTACCTGAAACGAGCAAATTTGTACTTCATTATTCCGATTCAGTGAAAAGAAAAGTAAATTTTTCTCTTGATTTTCAACTTAGAATAATTTTTCTCTGCTTTTTAAGTCCTATCACATTGACAGTTTTATTTATTTGACAACTATATGCCACTTTGACAATTCATTTATTAATTAAATAATGATAGTTCTTGTTAAAAATGACTTTGGTTTTATTTTAAAGCTGTTTCTTTGAGTTACTATTTATTAAAATTATGTTTTTCACAAACATTTTTGTTATTTAACTTGCGTAAACTCATTGTCAAAGAAATAAAACCGCTAATGTGATTGGATTTAAAAAGCAGAGAAAAATTATTCCAAGAGCAAAATCTAGAGAAAAATGAACTTTTCTTTCTATTGAGTTAGAATAATAAAGTTTTAATTACAGATTTGCTCGTTTCAGGTAACACAAAAAATGTTTTTCCTTTGCAGTTTTGGCCTAAACTCAAAGATAAAAAATTTTTTCCTCTTGTAAACCCAATCCGGGAACATATTGTAAAAACAATAATTGTATTTACATTTGAACAAAGAAAAAAATAAATAAATCGAAACTGGCAAAAACGTGACGATATTTATTTCAAATGTAGTTACATAAACTTGTTACTGTGTTAGAGAAAATTAAATTATTCAAACTTAAAACAAATCAAGTAACCAGATAATTGATTATTTTGCACTCCCCATTCAGTGTAATTTTTTGATCCGCCTACATTTCTTTCAGTTGTTTAATAAAAGTAATTGAATTCAAGAAATTTTCGCAAATCTTCCAAAACTACAGATGAAAAATTCGCTTTAATTTGTTAAGATGAGAAAAAAGGATATACTGTAGGAAAGTCGACTTTTTTCGATAAGTGGTAAATAAAAGACCCATTTATTCGCTACGATTTATTTCCAAGCTTATGTAACATTACATTTCACAAATATACATGATTATACCTCTTCTACAGATAACAGTGTAATTTTTTCACATAAAATTATTGAGAGCTTACTTTTTGCATAACACTTCTATTCCATCAAGCTTTGCCTTGAGTATTTCGTATTTGACAGCAAGAAATAAAATTCGATTTGACTTGATGTAAACCATTGATAAAAAAAAGCTAACTACTAAATTAGATAATTCAGAGAGTAATCATAACTGAAATAAAATAAAGTGTTTTTTTAAGATTTAACATCGAGTTTCATAAAGTCCGCTCCTTCCGATATACCGTACCCATTTAATAACATCATGATCCGAGTAATTCAATTTAGGTTCAAAAACCTTCAAATATCGTACTTTAAAACCGGACGGTGCGAACGGTACTTCAAAGTTCATCGAAATCGGTGGTCTTGTCCATTTTTTCTTGGTATCGGTTTCCAAAAGTTCGATTTCGGCCGATAATTGCGTCTCCTTCATTCCCGCCATACGTTTGATCCTTGAAAAAAAAAAACAATACAAACAAACCCAATCGATTCTCTATAACTTACTTCCAAACAATCGCGTTCTCGGATGCTTTGTATTTCGCCTTTCCTTTCAAACAAATCAATTGAACTCCCGAAGTATTCAACGGAGTTGGAATTTTAACTTCGATTTTTTGGCCGAGGAGCGACGGCTTGAAGTTGCTTTTCAACACGACCTTGACCTCCATTTTGGTGCGGCCGACTTCGCGCACGAGGGGGATTACCCGAAATGGCAAAGATATGTCTTTAGTTGTACGATATCTCATCAATTCGAATTCACCGTCAGGTGGAATAAAGCTAATGGAATGTTCGGTTTCGAATTTACTTAATTTCACGCATTGGTGGAACTGACAATCGTCGATTACGACGACGGGTTTGCCAGATCGGGTCTGATCGGAATCAGAGGTCGTGCCTAAGCCCCCTTTGCCTTTGGCTTCCATCACGATTTTGTCGTTAATACCAAATTTGCATTCGGGCATGCCCGACAAATACGACTTCATCACGACTTTACCGGCCACGTGGGCCGAAAGAACCTGACCTAAAGACTTTCGGTCTCAAAATTATATTAAAAAATAAAGTGACAAAACCTTGAGGTGACATAAGAAGGTTAACATATTCCAAAACATCCAAAAACAATTCGTTTCGACGATATTTGATACCCTCACGCCTCCAACCGATCTGGCCAGTAACCTGTGACGTAATCTGAGCTTGTTCTTCTTTTGTTGCCGATTTGATCCCTTGTTGAGTAATAAATGTTTTCAAAACGCCGGTATCGGTGTTTTGAGGGTAACCGAAATCCAAAATTTCTACAAATTTTCCGCAGTTACGACACAAATAAACACAAAATGAACAGTTTTACCATCTAATAGCTCGTAAATAAGAACGAAATTATTTTTAATATTCTCTTCTGAAATTTTCCCAAAGTACGATTGCATGACTTCAATAATTTTTAGCAAGAATTCGAAAACCATAGCGGCGTTAACATTCTGTTTTGTTACGGCAGCTATCCAAATATTTGCTCTCTAAAAAAAATATGAGTACCGCCAAAATTTGAAGTACAACTGGCAACGCTGCAAAAAATTTTAGCCAATTCGTGCAACCAACATTTTGCAAAAAGTACATTTCAGACCCGAGATTCCCTTTTTATTCCAATTTTGGATCAAATTCGAGAAGCAAATAATGCAAAAATGGCAATTTTGAACCGTGGTGGCAGCACCATCGCCACCGAATTCACACTGCCGTGTTGCCAGTTTTCCGGTGAATTTTTTGAATTGATAGAATTGAGTTTAATTTACCTTAATGTGAAAAAACGACGTTCGTGCTATGTTTGTAACCGGAGAGCGAACTTGTTGTCTGGCATGGATAACATTAACCCGAAATGCATCGACCGCATTTCTGCCGATATCATCCCTGTAAACTCGGGAAATCAGGACTTCTCCTTTGTGGTTGTACACAAACAATCCCCCAATCATTTTGCCGGCTTCAGCTTTTGCCTAATGACCTAAAATCGACGCTAATCACTAAAAACGCAGTTTTATTGACGCCGATTGAAATCGACTGAATCTTGCATTTTTTGAGAGAAAATTGGATATTTACCGAATTGTAAAGTCATTAGAGACTTTTTGCGCGCACACTTCTGTGATTTAACGCAATTATTAATTAAAGCCGAACGATTTTAATTTTACTTGGCCATCATACACCCACTTGACAACTTGTCACTGCGGTGTTCAAAATGCAGCTGATTCATAATATGCTCAATAACCGTTTTGTGGTTATGAAACAATTATTAGCACAATTATTTATCGTCGGTCATGTGTTCATTTATTATTTTTTCCATTGAAACAACAAAAAATGATTAGAAAAAAGCCGATTTTTGACTAAAAATAATATAGTGACTTTCGCTTTGTCCCTAAGAATTTGACAGAGCCCCAATGACATTTGTTTTTATTTAACCTTGGAATTTGAGATTGAAAATTAAAAGTTCGCAGAAAAACAAGTGTGATTTCTTCCGAATTCGTGTTTATTTCTTTTTATCTCTTCCATGTCTTAATTTTAAGAAATTAGGTTAGTAGAAAACATGTCTGATCAGTTGCCCCCAGTTGAAGAAAACCACACTGAAACTCCTCCAATTAGAGAAGATTTGGTAAGCTGCTTTGGTCAAATTAACCCATTTAAGCTGACTGTTGACTCTAGGTGAACACAGCAATAAAATTCCTGGAGAATCCTAACGTTATTAAGACATCATTAGCAGAACAACAAAGATTTTTAAGACGGAAGGGCTTAACTGATGAAGAAATCAGACAGGCGTGTGAGAAATCGGGGGCTTATAAATACCATGAACAAAGGAATAGGACGCCGCCTTTACCTCCGAGTTCAGTTATTCCGTATTCAAATAATGCAACGTTCCAAATTAGTTTATTTGATAAGATAAAAGAAGTTGTACATAATGTAGCCGTTTTTAGTTTTGTAGCTTACGTCGTCTATAAATTTTACGTGGTATGTATTACTTTTGCATAAAAAAAACGCTATATTATTTTTTACAGAGATTTATAGCGCCATTTTTCTTTGGAAAAAAGAAGAAAAGTGTAGAGGACTCGATAGAAGAATTAGATAAAAGTTTTAAACAATCTGTAAATGAATTACAAAACAATTTACTTAGTGTCAAAGTGGAAGTAGATAAAATTAGTCAAGGGGCTGAAAGTAGTACTCAGAGGCAGTTATCAGATTTGAAATCTGAAATTGCCACAGTTAAGGGTCTTCTTCTGAGCCGGTAAATCAACATTGTTGAAATTTCAAAAAAAATCAGATCTATTTTTCAGTAATCAATTTCCACCGGTTTCCAAAAGTTCAGTTGTCCGTCCATCAATACCTGCATGGCAGAAGACAAGTATAAGTCAAGATTCTGACGCCGATTCAGACCCTGAAAGAAAAGCTGAAGAGTTAATAGAAGTTGGATCAGGGTCAGGGTCTTCAGAACACGAACATGCAGCGAAAAATAGTGATTCTAGTCTAGATATAATGCAAGTCATTTCATTTGTTTAAAACGGGTTTTTTATTAATTTAATTGCAGATCTTTCTCATCCAAAGATAGTGATTTTAGAAGACATAAATCCAAAGATGTTGACGATGATGACGACGACGATAAAGATTAATCTTCCAAAAATGATGCCATTTAATAAAGTAGAATCACACTTGGTTATTAGGTTTGCATTTAGGTGACAAATAGGAATAATTAGAAAAGAAGGGTCTAAAATTTTAATTTTAATTTTTTGGTGAGAAAATATTTTAAGTCTGCCTTAATGACTGTAATAAAACACTGGATTCTACTTAAATAGTTTTATTTCACTGTAAAAGGTCATTTTATTAGGTACTTTGTTCCAAGTTTGTATTAGAGTTACTGTACAGTTTACAAGCTAAAACATGTATTTACAAAAATTAGGATTTGTTCTTAGAAACTAACAATTAACTATTCCAAAACTTGCCATAAGTACAACCTAATAGGAATGAAACACAAAATTTTTCTAAAGACAGCACACTAGTTGACTCCACAAAAGTGTGAAGTAGCACCTTAAAGACCTAATAGTTTCAACAACATTAAGACAGCGTCACAATTTACAACTATTTACAAACCAAAACTGTTGGCAAGCTCCCAATTGAGTTGGCAAAGCTTACTTGAAAAAATTGGGCGCGAGAGGGCACCAGGCTGTTTAAGTACAGTTCCACTGTAAATAAAAGTTGGCCACGAAATGTGGTGTTTAACTCAGGCACCGAGTTTATGATATGACAATAATTGGTGCCAAAAATCGAAGCTTTGCCTAATTTTAGTCAAGCTAAACTATTTATATACATTATTATCTAATCTAGTTCAATAATTTTGAACACAACCTTAGAGTACAAAATTATTGTTTCATATAAATATTTTCTGATGCAGAAAATAAGATTCTTAGTCTTGGAAAACTTACGCTATTTATGTACAATGAACTGAACAAAATGCTGTACAATCAAAAACATTTTCTGGGTCTTTGGTCTAAATAAAATTCCGTTCATTAAAATAATAAAGTTATCATGGAATGATAAAACTCAATAGACTACACAAACAACAAAATAAATAACTGAATTCAAATGAAACAATTAAAAGTAATTAACAGTTCTGTTTGGGTTGTTTACTTCCGGTGTATTGGTAGGAGTGTGGAAGATAAGTGTGGGTGACAGACATCAGTATTGTCCAGTTTGAGCACTACGTGAAACCTGTATTCAATAGACTGTTATCAGCTGTCTCTTCTCACAAAAATAAAATAAATAAAATTGCTCGAATCGAGTACTGAAGAATAGAAAAACGTTCTCTCGTAACGATTTATTTGCTACAAATAATTTCGTTCCAATCTACAAAAAACGAAAATCACAACACAAATTTCCAAAATTCAGTTGCACATTCTTTGCGGAATGCGCGACTTGAATTTTTTACTGTCTTTGCTTGGATCGAATTCTTGAACTTGTGTCACGATATTATCGATACAATTTTCGACTTGATCAACGATTTTACTAGGAGTTTCGATTCGATGAATTTTAGTGAAACTGCTGTTAACGGGGATATCGGTTCGATTAGGACGGCTGAAATTAAGATGCCTGAATATGGATGAAACGAGACGCCACTCACCTCTTCTACCAAAGCCGGTGCAAGTGGAGATTCCGCGACAACACGGATCGGACGTCCGCTGTGAACCTCAACGCATCCAAAACCGGAAGCAGATTGAGCAGCGCCACGTCGGTGGGATCTGAGAACCACGATTTTATTGGGATTGCATTGTCTGCGAAAAAATACACCTCTCAGTTCGGGGACACCTCCAACGATACGCCACAAAATTGCAAACATTTCTGCTTTCAATTACTAAATTCATTAGCAGTAGAGTATGGTTTATCGCCAAAGTTTAAATCATATAATTTACTAAGCGGCATTAGATAAGCAACACTAAAAAACGACTTTAAACTTATAACATTTAATGCAATCAATTAAACAAAAATTAATTAAATGAGAAAATTTATATTTTATTTTATAAACACTTATTTTCTTCACTAATTGCAATTCAACAATGAAACAACAATTTCCTTTGAATAAAAACACGTTTTGCAACTTCTCACAGTAAAACCCAGTAATATTTCATCAGTTTCTAAAATTTTTTGCAGAATTTGAGTGTAGATAAACAAACTTTCAGATGGGGCAAATAATTAAAATGCAACAATTCTTTCAGTTTAACAAAAAAAAAAGATCATAATTAGAGTATGTGTAACGAAAAGATGGAAACAAAGAATAACTTGAGGTTCTGTTGGTCAAAATAAAACCTATTTTTTTTTAATACAAAAAATAAGAAATGACTAATGTCCAAAATTGTGACACGTCTACTTAAATAATTTTTTTATTCTAAAACCAATGCCGATACAAAAATTTTACAAGACGAAAAATTGTTTAAAAATAATGTGCCTTTCGAATAAAAAACGTATTACGTCACTCGAATTACGTGTAACAAAAATATGGCTGAAAATGTGTCAAGTACTTTACAATAACAATAAAACAAGAAAAATAGCTCCAAACCTATAGTTTTGATATCAAATTGCCAAATCGATTACTCCATTAAAAAGTTATTAAAGAAAACGAAAATAATTTTTAATCTTTGACGCCCTCTCACATTCAAATGGTGAAACTTGGAATAGAGATAAGTTAAATTAAATTGCTTTATTCTGACCTGGGGAATCTCAGGTTTCTCTTTGTCCCTATTTTTTCTTTACACCTTGTACATAAATAATAATTATTGTAAAAAACACTAAAAAAAATTGTACTATTCATCCACTATAGTAATATGCCGATTCTTAACCTTTTGGAGGTCTGGAAATCTGTCATTACATCCCGTGGTCAGAAATAGCATTTTTTAGCCGTTAATAAATTGCAAACTAGAGTAAGTAAAACTTGAAAAAACTACTACATAGTTGTGATTTCAATATTTTTGACTTTTAAAATTTTTAATAATAAAAATTTTGTTAATTCATCGTTACGGAATGCACTTCACTAGTTTTTTGCTAATTCATTTTAAACATTTGTTATCAAACTGAATATGTAATGATAATGAATATTAAAATAAATACAATCACAATAATTACAAAAAAATGTTGTTTGGAAAAAATGCAGCGTAGAATTTCATAAAAAACTGTTTATCTTCAATGTTTAAATAATAAATGAAAGTGATAAAGAGAGAAATTATGATTAAACAGTTTTACAGCTAAATACACAACTTTAACTATGAAAAAAAGGTCAAAAAAGGCATCGGACGCCCTTTTAAAGCGAGGCTACTGTTTTCATTCTGAAGAGAGCAGCAAAATTTGGCAAATATATTTTATTTTTTGCTGTTTTTTTTTAATTTTTAGACTTTGATTCACATTCATCTTTAAAGAGTAGGTAATATTTCTTTACTATTATTACAGTCATCGGACATGATAAAAAATAATCCTTCGTCAATCGATACAAAAATGATGAAACCGACTTTACTGTCTTTTTAATTTTTTTTTGAATTTATTTTTTTCATTTTGATCAGTTTTATAAACAATATTAGTATGGCACTCAGATCCTAAACCTACTCAACCTTCTTTTAGAATGGATCTAACAAAAACGTAACTTGAAAAGAAGTTTTTTTTGGATATGTATAATCTATTATAAAAAATGTTCTAATTTCAGTATGTCGTGTTAAGACAGAAAATTTCTAACTCTTACTTGGGTGTTCCATTTCTAATATCACTTAGTAAATATTATAGCAGTTATGGAAAAATTTTATTATTTTCTTCACTGTTAAAAGTTGAAAGCAAAAATTTTGATTCTGATTTTAAGCTCGACTCACCGGGATAGGCGCGATAGGCCCCCGGACTGTTATCCAGTATGAAAACACTGGAGAGATCGTTGCAAATCGCACCCAAATCTTTGGTGTACGAGCCTAGATCGGGGGTGCAATGCTGTCTATAAAACCTCCTCTGGAGGATTCCCCGACCCGCGTCCAACTTATCAGCTACGGCCGCGCCGTAAATCTCCATACTGGCCGTAAAAACGACCAATTCGTACCATTGGGAAACCTAAATACGCTGTTAAATCAACATTCAAAAGACATTGAAACACTTACTATATCTAGGAAGAAGTCTACATGTGGTCTTTTATGGACAAAAAATCGCACCGGATGTCTGTCTATTACCACTTTAAGTACAAAATCCGGGGGAGTCCCCGGTCTCACGGTTTGGCGCACCACCCCATCGTGATGCGAGTGGATCAAAGTCTCGTCCAAGTCGAGGACAAGGACTTTCCGTTTTACTATACCTGAAGACAAAATTTGAGTTCAAGTTGGCGCGTAAAAGGAACAATCAGGGCGAGTTTGACAGGTCACGTGGACCAAACTAAGCCAATGACAAAAAAATTGCATCAAAGAAAAATAATAGTTGCCAAAATGAATTAAATAAATATATATTAGTGCCAGAAATTACTCAAACAAACTTGGCACTTTTAAAAATTTATTTTTAGGTGAAGTAACATTGAGAATGGGGATATTTTTTGAGAAAACGATTAGTCATACTTACTAAGCCTATGCCTCGATAGCGGTGATAAGGGGAATAAATCGTATTTGACCGATTGATGCTGAATTATCTGCAACATAAAATTTGAAGATTAGAGTCGGGAAAAAATGACTGGAAATTTGCCAAAACACAAAAGTAATTTTAACCTTCTTACTGTGTCTTACGTGCAATTATAATCTATTGTGTTATTTACTTATTGTAGCAATAAATCTCATCTCGGCTCACGTTTTGCGAGAATGTCAAAACTGTCAAAACACGTCTATTATTGTTTAAAACAACAATGAACCAATCTCAGTAATCGACCGAAATTTCGGGGGTTGCAATGATTGTGAACGTTGAATGCTTTTAATACAACTTACAGCTCTAGTTTGCTTTTTTATCATAAAACACAAACATGTCCAAACTCTCGATGCTAGAAGCATAAATGCTCGTAGTCCCATTTGTAATTGCTTCAACATTGAAATGTATTTTTTTCTACACTTTGCCACAATTTAGACACAAGGAGGATACAGTGGGTTTTGGTGATTTGTTGTTTCACTTTACTTATCACATTTTAACTTTTACCCGATTTATTAACCGCCATTAAAATCGACCCAGAGAGCGTTTGACACTCGCTTGATAGCGCATGCTCTTTTCATAACCTCAAAATAGAAGGAAACTGTAATGCAACACCAGCGCCACCAAATAAAACATTCAAATAACAAAAATAAAGTTTATTAAAATCGATAAAATTATTACAAAAGAGCCGCAATTCGACGTAAAGTCGGGGCGTATTCGAAATCAAACTTGAACTTGTTGCTTTCAATACTGGCCAACAGATTTTTAATAGTATCAAGAGGCACATTATCAAAATTTCTTCTGATGGTATTGAGGGTCCCTACAGAAATAAAATAACATACCAATTCAGCAACACACTCCAAATTTGAAGCCTCTTTCTCACTCACAATAAAGTAAATCTCGCACAAAGGTCTTACAATTGTGGGGAGAAACTCCACATGAATCGTCTTATAAATGTAAGTTAATGCTTCAATATAAAACTTAAAATCATCGCTCACTGGTATGAGATACTCCTCCTCTTTATAAAAATTCAACAATAGAACCATTTCGTCGTTAAATCCGCCTAAATTCAATTTAATCTGTTCTACATATTGGCTTAAATAAATAAAATTATCAATGTAAGTGCAAACGTTACAATAGATTTGGATTAAATGTTTCACATTCAAATGCTGTTCCTGTGACTCAAACAACTCAATTTCTGACTCACAGTCCGGATTTTTTATAGTTTTGTAAGCCGCAACTGTGGAAAATAACAAATCGGGAGTTATGACTTTTAAATTTAACTTTGTGCCATCTGTAAGAGCCGCCAAAGCCTTCAAACTAACAGTCAACAATTCTTTATTGGTCGAATTAAACAAAATAAAGTTAATTTTGGCAAAATGTCTCTTTTCAAAAAAATCCAATTTCTCGCACATAAAAGCCAAGGCGTGTACAAACCGCATTACTTGGATCAAAATATAAGGATCATCTGAATTTAACAAATCTACAACTACTTTAATCTCGTCCTCCTTTACGTTGGTTTCACATTTTGAACACAAGAGATTGGCAAAAATCCCGACTACGATTTCCACAAATCTCGGCTCGGTGTAATTTGTCAAAGCCGTGCAAGCTAGCGTGGAGTAAGACAAGTGGTACAAGTATTCACAAACGTCCTTTTCCTCAGTCATATCCCACAGGAAACACAAATCGTTTTCGACTTCCTCACTCCATTTCAAATCCGAGAACTGCATCAGGGTGTTTAACACGAAGCGTTCGCTGTACATGGTGTTCCCAATTGCGTCCCCTCGGAGCTTGCTGGCTGTCTCTGGGTCGATTTCTTCTTGAGTTATGTTGGTCGAATGGGAGGGTTCTGGGGCCTCATTTTGAGACTCTTCGTTTGATTCCATTATGTGCGCCTGATATTTGACCACACAATCACAAAGTATCGCTGAACTGTTATTTAACAATGACTACACCCAAAGTACAAAAGTGAGGCTATGTTTAGATTTTTTCTTGACAAAGGTGTCAAAACAGTGGTGTCTAAAGTCTGTCCGTTACCATAATCACACCCATGGCCCATATTATTATTCTGTACGTCTTAATTTCAGCTATCGTTTCTGTGATTTATTATTTTTCTGTAAATGTCAAGTGGTTGTTAACGTTACAACTCTGTCGAGTGTCGAGAGCCTATACCATAGGCACTTGGATTTTTCTCCCTAGGCATGTCACCAAAAAAATTCAACGTTAAAAAAACTATTAGACTATGACTAAACTAATTACTTATTATTAATTTATAGCTAAGCTTTAGATAATAACTTTTTTAAAAAACGTTAAGTCATCTGATAAAAAATAAATAATGATTTACGAGTTTTTGCTATTACTCTCACTTAAACCCCAAACACTATGAATTATATTCTTGTGTTTCTTGCATTGTCTTCCCCGTTTTTTTCTTTTGCTAAAGGTAAAAACATTTTTCTTATTTGTAAATATAGATTTTCGTACCTCAGAGGCAAGAATAATCGGGGGAAGTACAGCTCGCGCCGGCCAGTTTCCTTGGCAAGCGGCAATTTATCTGGACAACATTTCAGGAAAATATTTTTGTGGTGGGGCTTTGATCACAAATCGGTGGATTTTAACAGCAGCTCATTGTGTCTTTGGGTTCGTATCGCTCTCATTGTAAATAAAATCGACTGATAATTTCAGGGGAAAGTTATTTACAATTCATTTAGGGTCAAACACGCTGTTTTCGCAAGACGAAAATCGCGTCATTTTGTCCAGTTCTAAATACGTTGTACATCCGGAATATGATCAAAATACACTCGAAAATGATGTTGGGCTCATCCAACTCCATATGCCTGTCACGTTCAACGGTAGTTAAACACAATTAATTAAAATTCGGCTTAATTGATTTTTGTAGAATATATTCAAAAAATTAATATTGCAAATATGGGCCAAATTCACGACGGAGTTGTCGTAACAGCCGCCGGTTGGGGGCAAACCAGCGACAGTAAGTAACTAATTAAGCAAATAATTAATTAAAAAATTAATTAAGGTTCCGCCGGTATGAGCAATAACTTAATTTACTCTCAATTATCCATAATTTCGAACGCCGAATGTCAAATCACCTACGGAAGTCAAATCAAATCAGGCATGATTTGCGCTGTTGGCAACTACAACGAAGGCATTTGCATCGTAAGTTGTAATTACAAATTAATTATTTCTAATTTAAATTAATTAAGGGTGACACTGGAAGTCCATTGGTGAAACCAGACGTCAAGGGAAACCCTCTTCACGTTGGAATTGCAAGTTTCATGAGTCAAAACGGGTGCGAAAGCACAGATCCTTCGGGATTTATTCGAACTGATGTTTATCATAAATGGATTTCAAACGTGACAAAAGCACCATAACTGAGTAAAGTGCATGCTTACATTCCTATCCCAATAATCTCCAAAGATAAAAAAAAATATCCACTTAATAAAACAATTGTTTTTTTTTGTCACACTCAAAGATAAATTAGTTAATAAATACTAGTTCCGATGATAATTCGGATTGTGAAATACCAGTCATGAATTTCTACGTTTTTGTGCTGTGCACACTTTTCGCCTTGTGTTATTCCAAACCCAACAATGGTAAATTTCTATAAAAAAAATATTGAAAATTTGACGAACTGTTTCGTAGGAGTTCGGATAATCGGGGGAAAAGTGGCCCGAGTTGGAGAATTCCCCTGGCAAGCGGCCATTTATGTGGACACTGCTGAAGGCAAATTCTTCTGTGGTGGTTCTCTAATCAACAATCAGTGGATCCTCACTGCTGGTCATTGCATTTATAAGTAATTTTTCATGTAGTTGTTGCAAATAGCATGATTTTTCTCTTCTAGTGCAAAACTTTTTACAATTCATTTGGGTTCAATCACTCTGCAAGCCGGGGACCCCAATCGCGTAGTCCTCTCAACTTCAACTTCAGTCATTTTCCCAGAATTTGACCCACTGTCTTTAGAGCACGATATTGGGCTTATTAAACTACACATGAAAGTTGAACTTTCTGGTAACAAGAAATTCAAATCGATTTTATTTAATTAAAAAAAATTGTAGATTATATCCAACCAATTGAGTTGGCCGATATTGGGGCAATTTCCGAAGGCAGTGCTGCCATCGTCTCAGGATGGGGCCAAACAGCTGACGGTATTACTAATTTTAATTCACTAATTTATCAGAAATAATCAAAAATTTTAGCAACAAGTGGTTTGTCTAACAACTTACAATACACAAATGTCGTAATTATATCAAACACTGAGTGCAAACTCACCTACGGTGACCAAATCCAAGACACGATGATTTGTACTGCTGGAAATTATAATGAAGGAATCTGCACTGTGAGTAAAATAAGCGAAATCTGATAAAAAATTAATAAAAAGTGTAGGGTGACACTGGCGGCCCATTGATAAGAGCAAAGGGGGGCACAAATTATGTCCAAGTTGCCGTTGCTGGCTTTTTCAGTCAAAATGGTTGCGAACAGTTGCACCCTTCAGGCTACATCAGGACGGATTTGTACAAAGCTTGGATTCAGAATGTAACAGAAACGATGTAGAAATTATATAATTAATAAAATATTTAAAAATGCGTAATAAGTCTTATTCTTTCATATAAAAATGATGAAACAATAAATAATGTACCCACCACGTGGAGGAATTTGAGATAAAAGCGAATTTTAAATTTTATAGTTTGTTATAATACACCCTGACGACAATAATTTCAAAACTGCATAATAATTACATTAAAAAAAACGTTCAGTTTCATGTCAACAAAAAATTTTTGAATTCTAAAAATTAAATAGTATATTAAAATACGAGTTACAGAAGACAATTCAAGCAACAGTTTAAAATTCCCATATGAACAACGCAGCGGCGAGTTGAGGAGCAAACGTCTGCTTGAATGGCTTTCTGTAATCGGTGTATTATAAATTTTTTTTCTATTTTAAAAATTTTTAAAAGGAAAATTATTAAAGTCATGGAATTTTGCATCAGTTGGGTCTGAGCGTTATTCATGAAAACGTTGGAAAATTTAACTCGAACTGACATTTGCCATTGTGCGTTCTGGCAATGAATTCTCAAATTTTGTTCATTTTCGCCACCCAAAAATTCGAGAATTTGGTAAGTTCAACATAAGAACAAAAAATACACACGATAGAAAGCTGTTAACGCATCCAAATGAGTTCGTTAATAGCCTTGTTGAAGATACAAAATACAAAAAAAATAATAATACGAGCTGTTATTAATTACAAAACTGTAACAAAGAAACACAACTTGAATAATGATCTTTGCAAAGCGGAAAAGTTCCTTAAATTACCTAATTACCCACTCTTGAAAAACGTGATAAAAATTTTTGAAGTTTACTCAAATCCTCGAATATTTCTTTTCTAATCAGAAAATTTGACTTAAATCTAGAAGTATTTATTATTTCCATGACATCATTGAATAATATCTAATTAGAGATTAAATGATTACATTCCGCAAAGCCCTGTATTAACTCGTAAGTATTTGACGTAATAATTCCCAATAAAATCATGGCTGAACTCCAGTTTTCAAATACCAAACATGAAGTGGCATCTATTTGTCTTTTTGTGCATTTATGCAACTACGGCTAAAAAAACCTTAATTAATCTCCGTCGAGTCAACGATAGTGAAAATTTTAATTTTCAACCGCGAATAATCGGTGGAAATGTGGCTACAAGTGGTCAGTTCCCTTGGCAAGTTGCCATCTACAAGGATACTCCAGATGGTAGATTCTTCTGTTCGGGGGCTTTGATTAACTCCCGATGGATCTTAACGGCTGCTCAGTGTGTCTATGAGTACTATTTCGCTTATTTTTTATATAAATTTTGTAATTTTATTTTTTTCGGGTTTTAGAGCTACGAAATTCACAATTAAAATGGGGTCAAATCAACTGTCATCAAACGACGCAAATCGAGTCGTTGTAACGACTTCCACTTATGTTATTCATGAAGGTTTTGATCCAACAACGTCGCTAGCTAATGATATTGCTCTAATTAAATTACGGATGCCTGTCACATTCACTGGTAATTATAATTTCAAGCAAATTAATTCTATTAAATTTTTTAATTAGACTATATCGAACCTGTTGTTGTTGGAAATTTGGGATATTTATATCCTGGGCGAGTTGTCAAAGCCGCAGGTTGGGGACAAACCAGTGATGGTAAGAACTACTTTTTAGACCATAAAAACTACAATTAGGTTTCCGATTAAAGGAGGCTAACACTGAAATCAAGTTGTTACTTCAATGTTACCAACTTAATTTCAAAAACACAGCCTGCTTTAATCCGAAATTTTGTTGAAAATCCGACTTTACTAACTTTTTTTCATAAGAGGATAGTGGACTGTCAAACGATTTAAAATTTGTGGAAATAGCAATAATCGATCAAAATGCTTGCAAAACATTCTTTGGGAATCAACTTGTGGATACCATGATTTGTGCCGAAGGAAATTATAATGAAGGAATCTGTTTTGTTAGTTGATTTTTTAAATTAAATTTCTATTAAAAGAGCTAATTTAAGGGTGATATTGGAGGACCACTGATAACATCCGCTAATGTGGGAATAGAACATTATATCCATGTTGCTATAGCTAGTTTTGTAAGTCAGAATGGATGCGAAAGTTTGGACCCAACAGGATATACACGAGTCGATTCCTTTTATGCATGGATTGATAATGCCACTAGGCATAATTAAATATGCCAAAAATAAAAACTTATCAATGTATTTATGAGTTTTATACAACTTCTACTGCTGGGTTTTTCTTAACGAAACGCAACAATCTAAAAACTGAAGAAGGACTAATCCCTGGAATTCGACTAGCGGCCGCAATCTGAAACCAAATCATAAAACACCAATTCACAAAGTAATATGTTAAAATAATTACAGTTTGTGGTTGTATAGTACACAATTTTTCCCTCTCTTCAGAATTCAAATTAAGATTCTCTGCATAGTAATCCAAATCTTTGGGAATGAGCAAAGCTTCCTCTTTCCTCACTTCCTCGACTTCAACTGCTTGTTCACAAGCAGCAGCTTCATAGGTGGCTTCGATGTGTAACCGATTTTCAAGCAAGGGGTCATGTGTTAAAGGCAACAATTCCGGTGCCACTGCTGCCAACATTGAAATCGTAATCCCTTCATTGTAACAATCAAGCATATTAAAGGCCCTAGTGCACGATTAGTAACCCTGTCAAACTCATTACGCGTGTTACTTACGATTTTTGCATCATATTCCTAGATGGCGCTATTTTTAAAAGTTTTCTCCAGGTGCGAGCCGGTTTGGTGACACTTTTCAGAAGTGAAATTCCGTCTTTTAGTTTTTCTTGCATGGCCACCATTTTGTCGTATCGAGCCTTAGTCACACACCCAACATTATAACCTTTAGCTGTTAGTCTTTGATCGGCGTTGTCCGGCCTTAAGGTTAGTCTGAATTCGGCTCGACTCGTAAACATTCGGTAAGGTTCGTTAGTTCCCAATGTTGTCAAATCGTCGATTAAAACGCCGATGTAGCCTTCGGTACGGCTCACAGTAATCGGGGATTTACCCAAAGCCTGAAACACTATTGCTAATTTAAAAATATAACTAGGGAAAAGTCACTACAAGAGCTGCAGCATTTATTCCGGCGATTATCCCCTGAGCTGCCGCTTCCTCGTACCCTGTAGTTCCGTTAATTTGACCGGCGAGGAATAAATTGGGGATTCTTTTTAACTCGAGGGTGGTTTGCAATTCCCGGGGATCCACAAAGTCGTATTCAACCCCATACCCAGGTCGGGTAATTTCAGCCTTTTCTAACCCAGGTATGGAATGAATCAACTCAACTTGTAGTTCCTCTGGGAGAGTGCAAGATAACCCATTTGGGTAAATTATATCACTAGTTAGACCTTCCGGTTCTAACCAAACCTGGTGTTGGCGGCCACCAAATCGTAAAACTTTCGATTCGATACTGGGACAATACCTCGGACCGGTTACTTCTTCGGTTACATGCCGGTTAACATGAAGGTTATTCTTGATTATCGGTTCTATATCCAGTGAAGTCTTAGTCAAATAACAAACCAATTGATCCTCGGGCTTAATCCAGACTTTATCATTCATAAACGAGAAGGGTAAAGGCGGGTCATCACCCTTTTGTATATCACAGACTTTATAATTTATCGTATCTGATTTGAGTCTAGGGGGAGTCCCTGTTTTCAAACGCCCCATTTTGAGATTCAAGGCAGCTAAAGTTTTAGCCAAACCGATCGATGGTTGGTCGCCAATACGCCCAGCTGGGTATATTTTAGTACCGATATTTATTTGACCATTTAAGAAAGTACCAGTAGTTATTATGACACTTTTGGAGTAGATTTTTGTACCATCCTGTAGAATTATACCGCGACAATCTATAACGGTTTGTTTATTACTGTTTGTAGTCGGATTTTCCACTATTAAGTCTTCGACTGAAGCTACTAAAATGTCCAAGTTTGGAGTATTTTCGAAAAGTTCGTTTTGGATATGTTTTTTGTAAAGGTCCCTGTCGATTTGGGCGCGGTAGCCCCAAACTGCAGGCCCTTTTCTTTTATTGAGCACCTGAATAATATATTTTAAGCAGGCTATGAAAATTTGACAGACATCACCCTCTATATCAATTTAACGTCAAAAAACTTTGGTGTTGCCTTATCTTTGTTAGTGAAACTTTTGGCGTCAATTGGTATTAACACTTTTCTTACATTGTAAGGTAAAAAACAAATTATTAGAGAAGATTATTATAGTAAAAATCTCATCGCCTATTATTACTGGTAAATATACAGGGTGAAGTATGTCAAATAATTTCAGTTTATGAATTACTTTATACTGAATACCGGACAAGTCGCACATTCGGCCGCAAATCCCATCCAAGGCATCCACTTCTCGCATCAAATGCCCCTTTCCGATGCCCCCAAATGAAGGGTTGCATGACATCTCCCCTAATTACTTCATTACTTTTCAACTCTAGGTTGTGTAAGTCATTACTTACCTACGGTTTCTTTTTTGTGCGTTATGAGGAGTGTTTGAGCCCCCGTTCGTGCTGCCGCAGCACTTGCCTCACTTCCGGAGTGACCCCCTCCCACAACAATAACATCATAGTTTTTATCAGGTGAAAAGTTGTGTATTTGTCTCATTTTCGCAATTGTGGGGCAAAAACGTCTCATTTTTTGCCAATAACGTAACATTCTGGTTAGGTTATGAAAACTTTCAAGTTCAAGGATATTATTTTGTAAAAATTTAATTCCAGAATTACTAACAGCTGTTAATTTTTTTACTAATTATAAAACTGACTGCAAAAATTTAATAGTGTCACTTAAATCGCTGAATTATGAAATTGATGGAAAAGTGAGGTTAGAAAGGGGTCATTGAACGCGCACATTATTGCGCACCATGCGCATTTAAAAAAAAAAAAAGTAAGGTAGAAATTAATATTAAAAGTTTATTTAGTTTTAGATTAGTAATTTACAATAAATTTTATTTTGTAATAATGTGTATTTTTCCAAAATTTCTATGAAACCTCACGGAGTTGCCTTTGAGGTCGTTGGTATGACAATATTGACAAGACTAAAACTTGTTTATTTTTTTCTTTAACCAAAAAAAGCGAACTATTTGCCTAAAAAAAATATTCTGCTTGGTGGTAAAATATAAAACAGTTTAATTTAAAGCCTGAAATGACAACCCCTTCACCCCTCGATGAAGCCGAAGAGAAAGATTCACTTTTCTCGGACAAATCCGAAGGTAAGTCACCATTCCTAGTCCTACAATCCAACTCAAAATTCTCTTAGATAAAGCCGTGAAAATCCAAACTCCGGAAGCCGAGACCAGTGAACACGTTAAAGTCTCCTACAGCGACGAAGATCTCGACAAATTAGTCGGATTTGTCAAAAATCTTACCACACTCTACGACCTACGACCCGACGACTGGAAAGAAGAGAACTACGAAGTGATTAAGCGCTTTTTCCTGACACCTACCGAACCGATTTTGACGATTTATTTCATAAATGACGACCTGACTTGCAGTTTGGGCCCCCCGACAAGGTCTGTCATGGACCTAACCTATTTTCTCCGACAACCGTTCGAAGTTTTCGAAGTTGCGACTTTCTTCGACAACATCAACTTTGGCACAATGGACGATAACATCGAAGGCAGCATTTTGAACATTGTAGAAAACGTGTACGCCCCTGTTTTTCTCAAGTCGAACCACTGGCCTGAAAGTAATATTTTAATTTTTCATTTTGTATTTCCTCAAACAAATGATTTTCTAAGGTGTCAAAAATGATTTTTCGCATAATCTTCACATGTTTTTGGCTAAATTTACCGACGTTCATAGCAGATTGTTCGGTTTGACCGTCCTGTATATACCACGGGAGGCTCTCGATATCCCCGTAGACGTTGCAAGTCTCGATAAAGAATTAGTGAAAAGATTGGAAGCTATTGTTGTTTACTGGACGAAACAAATTCGGGTGGGTTTACAAGACCAAGACCAAACCACCCCTGATGACCTTTTGACCCCTCTCGATGAATACGATTTTTGGGTTTACCGATGTACTGCTATTTTAATTTTTGTTGGGAAAAAACATTTATTTTGTTTTTTTAGTCGAAAATTTGTCCGGTTTAAATTACCAATTAACCAATCAAAGTTTAAAACACATTTGTAACATTTTGATTGCCGTCCAATCGACTTATGTGCACCAGTTTTTGATCCTGGCTGATGAAATTGAACGCAATGTGAAGGAATCAATGTCAAATATCGAATATTTAGCCGTTTTGCGAAACCCTTGCAACGAGCTCTCCGAAATACAAAATCCCAATGAAATGCACACGAAGCTGGCCGAAATTTTGCACTTGATTCGTTTTATTTGGATGAATAGTCCGTATTATAACACTATAGAAAAAATAACGAGTTTGTGTCGCGCGTTAAGTAACCAAGTGATCCTCCAATGCATCAAGTACATAAACATGAATATCATTTTCGAAGAGAAGAAAAGTCGAGAAGGGATTAAAATGTTTGAGACTTGCATCGACTGTCTCACTAATTACATCCGGACTTACGTTTTGGTATTATGAAATTTTAATTTGCTCCAAAATTTCACATTTTTGTAGATTTCGGAAAGCCACACAAAATTCGGACCTTCACCTTGGCTCCTCGACAAAGCTCCAATTTTCAATCACGTCGACTCGTTTATCCAAAGATGCAAAGACATGATTGAAATTTGTGAAGCCATGATTAATTTCGGCCGCCATGACGAGACCGAAGAAATCCCAAAACCGAATTTCGGGGGCTCTCGACGCATCGAATTTTTGAATTGGTGCAACAAAGTCGAAGATATGTTTGCTGAGAGTCTCAAATCGGTCCAAGAAGTGCGTTCTAATTTTCGTCTTTCCATTTTTAATTTTTCCCTTGAAGGTGAAACACTTGATTCTCGACGTCCAAGTCTCAACGTGGTACGACCAGATGTTGCAATTCAAAAACCGGATGAAAGATATTGAGGTCGTGATTGAGAATTTGACAAATGCGGTTTTTGAGGAGGTTGCGAACGTCGAGGAGGGAATCGAGAGTTTGGCCGCGTTGTACAATTACTCAAAACGGGAAAGTTTGAAGTCGCTTTTTAACGGCAAAACTTTGTTCGTTTATGAGATGTTCAAAGAGGAGATTCACGGAGTTAAAAAGGACTTGACCGAGTCGGAAATGTACCCCGCGAGATTGCCCTACTACGCCGGACGGGCCATGATTGCCAACATGAAAAAAAATCGACTTGTCCTAATCAGAAAAGTAAATTTTGATTAATGTTTGGCGTTTTGTAATGTGAATTTCAGCTTTTTGAAGACGCCAAGTGGATGCTTCCTTGCAGCGTCTCGCATGAAATTTTTTCCCAGTACGAGAAACTTGTCAGTTCGATAGATGAAAGAATTTTGGGTTTGTACCGGAAGTGGAATGACCGGCTTGGGGAAGACGTTTCTAAGCGTTTACACCGCCCCCTGATGTGCAAAAGTATCTCAAAACCGGGGCTTCTCGAATGCAATATCGACCGTTCCTTGCTTGAGATCTTCACAGAAGCCAGATACTGGGAATCGCTGAATTACGAAGTCCCTTCTCATATCAAAACAGTCTACGATAAAGCAAACAATGTTAGATTTGTTTACGAAAGTGTCCTCGCTGTGGTCCTCGATTATAATAAAATTCTAGCGTCGTTAAGTGACGATGAACGACTTTTGTTCAAACCTTTGATAACAATCGTTGAGAAAAAAATTGCTCCGGGTTTGTCTAAATTGACCTGGGCTTCGGAAGTCTCAGACGAATATATTGCTGAGTGTTCTCATAACACTGCTGAGGTATAAAATGAAAGATGTGAATATTTTCGTTAAATGATTTTTTCAGTTGCAACAATTTCTCGACGATTATAAAAGTTGTAATTTGCAAATTGTTGCGATTTGCGAGAAAATTTGTGACACTTATATGTTTCGCGTAACGCCGAATTATGTGTTTAACATTCGCGAACTGATTATAGAGATTTCGAGTCAGTTGGAAAAGACTATGGAAAAGTTGGTGATACATTATCACAATATTATACAGTTTTTGATTTTGGTGTTTGAGGGATTTGAAAACTATATGACAGTGGTGAGTGGTATCAATTTATTTATCTGTTCTAAACTAAGTTTTGGACAAATTTCGAACTTAAACTTAAATCACATTTCTTACAATCCCAGATATCTAAAAACTCGTAAAGTTAATAAAACAAACGTCGCTCAATTTTTTCAAATAAATTCACCAAAGTGACACTTTTATGACTAAATGTCACAAGTAAAAGTTTTACCTTCCAACCGTGGAGTAAAAATTCTGTTTATAATATTTTACACTACTAATTGCACTAGTCATGCACTAGGTAAATTAATAAACACTTCAAATATTTCAATACAAATTCCGATGCTTGTTTATAAGCGTTGTTATGATTTTATTAGTTGCAAAGCGTCCTGCTCTTATTTTGTTCATTTATTTTATTTAAGTTTAAAAAATCAAATTTCGAATTCCATCATTCCTTATTATCTAAATACATTTTGTAGATGGCAAACCAATGGATCACTTATATCAACAATTTTGATACGCTTGTGGAGGAAGCTTTAAAAATTTGTTGCCGAAATACATTAAACCACATGTATGAATGTTTACACGGCGATGATACACTTGGTCCAAATCCAGTTTTAGAACTGACAGCAAGTCTAAAAGCTAACCGAGTTAGTCATTTCAAGAAAATTATTTCCCCAGTTTCAAAAACGTTATTTTAGATTAATTTTGAACCAACTTTGAGCGAAGTCGCAAAAGTCGTTTACAATATTTTGCCTAATATGGTAGAATCCCTAATGACTTTGCCTCGACTAAACGATAAATTTCATGTCGCTGAAACCGATTTTACTCCATATTGGGGGATCATAGAGCAGGATGCCGAGTGTCAAAAAATTCAAAAAATGTTAAATGAAGGTATTCTATTATTATCTAAATGTGTTCGTAATACAACATTTATTACTATTGCAAGAAATGAGTTTAAATGTTAAGAAGATTCAGGAGTATATGAAAATATGGGAACCTTTTCGCGACCTTTGGGAAATCGATAAAGACCTCTTTATGACTAAATACGAGACTGAAAATCCCACTGCAGCCCAATTCGATGCAAATATCGGAAGATACACAGAAGTAGCAAACAATGTACAGATCCAAGAAGGAGTCACAGTTGTCCATTTTATTCGAATTAATTGTTCTGAATTAAAAAAATCTATAATCGAGCATTGTTTACAGTGGCAGAAGAAACTTTGTGAACTTTTATACAAACTAACTGTTAGAAATATCAACAATGTCTATGAATATATTAAAGTCAACACTGAAGCGTAAGTTTTAGACGTGGAAGAGGAAAATATCAATTAGAAAATTTTAGTGTTTTGAAAGAACCGCAAAATTTGATCGAAATGGAAAAAGCAATTGCACTTCATGAAAAATTAGTCAATGAAGTATCGGTAAAAGAAGAAAGCTTTCCTCTAATAACTGATCAAATGTTAGTTTTGGAAAAATATAACGTTCATGTGCCGAACGAAGTGCGAAATCGAGAAAAAGCAATTCCGAATGAATGGTCACGATATTTGGACGTCCTATCTGATGCTGATAAGATGTTGGGGTACTCAAAGGTACTAGTCAGAAGGGCGCAAAGGAAGGACTAACTCAGTCTTCAATTTTGTTTTCTCCCCTCCTTTGTTTCCTTTTTCCCTTTTTATTTTTTTTTTGTTTTATTTACCAAAAAATAAGGTACAAATTTCGGCCAATGTTTGAAACCACAACGCTATTTATCAATTTTAGGACACTTTCAAAACTAGACTACTTGAAGACGCTGAAGTTTTGAAAAAAGATGGGAAAAAATTACTTGACGAATTTTTGACAACTGGCCCTTTTTCATCGGATTGGTCAGCCGAGGAAGCTTTGAAATACATCGCCGACATTAAAGCAAAGTTGGCTTATCTGAGGGAACACGAGAAAGATTTGAGAGGAGATTTGGGTATTTTTGGGCTCAGTTTACCGGACACTATCGAACTGACCAAATTAGAAAGAGTACCTAATCCTACTATTTTAAAAATTTTTGACACAACTGCTCTTTGGTAGGAAATCGCCGCAATTGAGTTGGTTTGGCAGCTGACAGACGAATGGAACAAAGCCTGGGAAAAGTACAAATCGGGCGAATTTTGGACGATAGAAACCGAAGAAATGGAAGTAACCGCTCAAACACTTTTCAGAAAATTGACACGACTTTCGCGCGAACTCAAAGATAAAAAGTACGAAAGTGATTGTTTTGGTTTTATTTGACAATTTTTCAACAGTTGGGAAATTGTGGAACACACGAGACAAAGAGTGGATGCTTTTCGAAGAACTCTGCCTCTTATTGGCGACTTGAAAAATCCTTCGATGCGGCCGAGACACTGGGACCGCGTTCGCAAAGTTGTTGGCAAAGATTTTGACGAAAATGGTGCCGATTTCAATCTTGAAGCGATCTACGCCATGGAAATGCACAAATATGCTGAAGAAATTAACGATATTTCAAACGCCGCTACAATGGAATTGCAAATTGAGAAAGGGCTGGCCAATATTGCCCACATTTGGAAAGAAATCAAGATTGAGATGGTGCCACACAAAGATAAGGGTCTTTACAGGTAAGGAAATTAGTTTGTGGGAGTTGAGCCCAAAGTCGTTTTTGTTAGAATTAAGAGTGTTGAGGAGTGTTTTCAAACACTTGAGGATCACATGTTGCAATTGTCGACAATGAAAAGTACCCGATTTGTTGAACCTTTTGCCAAAGAAGTGGATTATTGGGAGAGAACCTTGTCTTATATTTTGGAAACGTTGGAAGCGGCACTAAGTGTGCAAAGACAATGGCTGTATCTTGAAGTAACTGCTGAAAAGTTTTGTTTCTTAATTTTTCCATATTTTTTTCCTTTAGAACATATTTTTTGGCGAAGATATTCGTAAGCAACTTCCTCGCGAATCTGAAGGTTTTGACCGGCTTTCCGAAGAATGGAAAAACATCACAATCCACATGCATGCCGGAAAAACCGCAATGAAGGCAACACAGTACGAACCAGCTCCTTACCTCTACAACAAACTGAATCGGATGAATGACAAATTGGAATTGATTCAAAGAGCCTTGGAACGCTATTTGGAAACCAAACGTCACATTTTTCCCCGTTTTTATTTCATTTCGAACGACGATATGTTGGAAATTTTGGGGAATTCGAAAAAACCCGAAGCTGTGCAACCTCACTTGAAAAAACTTTTCGACAATCTCACCAAGTTGAAAATGCAACGAAATTTGGTCACCAGCAAACAGGAAGCTATGGGGATGTTTTCCGAGGACGGTGAATATATGGATTTTACAAAATTGATAGTTTTGGATGGTCCCGTCGAAATGTGGTTGTTGGAAGTCGAGGCTCAGATGAGGGCAGCTTTGAAAAAGGAGTTTAAACCATGTCGCAGCGCTCTAAAGAAGATGTTGAGTAAGAGGGATAAGTGGTTGTTGACGTATTGTGGGCAACTTTGCAATGCCTGCAGTCAGGTAAAAAAAATTGGCCTTATTTAGCATTTGCTTAATTTTAATTGCTAGATACAATGGACCACTGACTGCACAAAAGCTTTGGTTCATGCCAAAATAACTGACAGTAAAAAGCCGTTAAAAAAACTGAGGAAAAAACAAAACCAAGTTCTGAGCAAACTTTCCGAATTGAGTAGACGAGATTTGACTAAATTACAAAGACTGAAAGCTAACGCTCTTATTACGATCGAAATTCATTCTCGTGATGTTATTGATAAAATGTACAAAGCTAGTAAGTGGCAAAAATTTTGAAACAAAGTGTATACAAAACATAAAAATAGATTGCAGAGACACGAATTCTTTTGAGTGGTTTTCCCAACTACGTTTCTACTGGGATCGTGATTTAGACGACTGTGTTATCAAACAAACAAATACTGCTTTCATGTATGGATACGAATATAATGGAAATTCGGGTCGTCTTGTTATCACTCCACTCACTGATAGGTAGTTGGTAAAAATATATGAAAACAAACTAAAAACTCTTTAAGATGTTACATAACTTTGACAACTGCCCTCCACTTGTTTCGAGGCGGTAGCCCAAAAGGGCCGGCCGGAACCGGAAAAACCGAAACTGTCAAAGATTTGGGCAAAGCGATGGGCATGTGGGTCATTGTCAACAATTGCTCCGAAGGTTTAGATTACAAAAGTATGGGTAAATGTTTCTCGGGACTTGCCCAAACGGGTGCTTGGGGCTGTTTTGACGAATTCAACCGAATCAACATTGAAGTCCTTTCGGTAGTAGCCCAACAAATTTTAAGTATCCTGTCGGCAATTGCAAGAAAAATGAAAACATTTGTTTTCGAAGGTAAAACACCTAACACCTCACATTTTTTTCTTAATTGTCTCTAAAGGTACCGAAATTAATTTAAAACTGACTTGTGGCATCTTCATAACTATGAATCCGGGTTACGCCGGGCGAACCGAGCTCCCGGATAATTTAAAATCGATGTTTCGGCCCATTTCGATGATGGTACCTGACAGTGCGATTATCGCCGAAAATATCTTATTCAGTGATGGTTTCCAAAATACAAAAATTTTGTCAAAGAAAGTCTTCACTTTGTATCAACTTGCAATGCAACAGTTGAGTAAGCAAGATCATTACGATTTTGGGCTCCGGTCCATGGTGGCTTTGCTTCGGTATGGAGGCCGGAAAAGGCGCCAATTTCCGCATTTTCCGGAAGATGAAATTATTTATCTTGCAATGCGCGATATGAACATTGCCAGACTCACATCCGACGACTTGCCCCTTTTTAACGGAATCATGTCGGATATTTTCCCCGGAGTCAGCATTCCCAAAGTGGATTATGTCGACATGACGGATGCTATAGTGTCTCATATGACGGAAAATGGGTTGCAAGTAAATTTAAATTCTTTCTAATTTAACAAAATTTGGAATAATTTTTTTAAGCCTATTGAAAATGCAATAACTAAAATAATTCAGTTGTACGAAACCAAAAGTTCGCGTCATTCCGTTATGATTTTGGGCCGGACTGGATCGGCCAAATCTACGACTTGGAAAACCCTCCAGGGGGCTTTGGGAATTTTGCACAAGGCGGGAAAGCCCGGCTTCAACGTCGTACATGTCTACGCCATTAACCCCAAAGCTTTGAATTTGGGGGAATTGTACGGGGAGTACAATTTGAGTACTAATGAATGGTTGGATGGAGTTATCAGTGCAGTAATGAGGGCGACTTGTGCCGGTTAATTTTAATTTTTGACTAGAATTTGTGATAACTGGTTTTTCCAGAGGAAACTCCTGACGAAAAGTGGATTTTGTTTGACGGTCCCGTCGATGCTGTTTGGATCGAAAACATGAACAGCGTCATGGACGATAATAAAATTTTGACTTTGATTAACAGCGATCGGATTACGATGCCGGAACAAGTATCACTTTTATTCGAAGTTGGTGACTTATCAGTAGCGTCACCTGCGACAGTTAGCAGGTGCGGAATGGTCTACAATGATTATAAAGATTGGGGTTGGTTGCCTTATGTCACTTCGTGGGTGCAGAGACAGCACAAACGTGGCAAAGAGTTTCAAGATATTGCAAGTTTTTTCTAAGATTTTTGCTTTTGACTGTTTTTTATCAAACAGATGATGGATTTTTTCCGCATTTATTTGCAAAAAATTCTCGATTTTAAAAGACTACACTGCGAGGAGGCAGCCGGTTGTGTTGAATTAAATCTAGTCATGTCTTTGTGTAAGCTTTTGGAGATTTTGGCAACGGTGGAGAATGGGGTCAATCCGCACGATGAGGACAATTTTGCCGATATGGCCAAAAACTGGTTCTTGTTCTGGTAAGTAAGATTTTCAAGACATCTACAAATAAAAAAATCTAGTTTAATTTGGTCGGTTTGTTGCACCACCAACGAGGAGGGTAGGAAAAAAATCGACAACTTTATCCGGGAAAAAGAGGGTGTTTTCCCCATTAAAGACACGATTTACGAGTATTTTGTCGACGTTCCTAACAAAAGTTTCGCGTTGTGGGAGGTGAAACTACCCTACGACTGGAAATACGACCCTGGATGTGCCTTTTTCGAAATTATTGTCCCAACTGTGGACACTGTGCGTTACGAATACATCACGAATGCCCTTTTGTCTCACGGTTATCCAGTTTTGCTCACGGGACCTGTGGGTACCAGCAAGACTTCGACAGCACAATCTGTTTTGGCGAGTCTCAGTTCGGAAAAATACACCGTTTTGAATATAAACATGTCGGCTCAAACGTCTTCGCTGAATTTGCAAGAAGCGATCGAGAGTCGATTGGAGAAGAGGACGAAAGGGGTGTATGCGCCGGTTGGGGGTAAACTGTTGATTACGTTTTTGGACGATTTGAATATGCCGGCGAAGGAAACGTACGGGTCGCAACCGCCTCTTGAGTTGTTGAGACAGTGGTTGGATTATAATTTTTGGTATGATAGACAGAAGCAGACCAAAAAATTCATTATTGTAAGTTCGTAAATGCAAACTAGGGTTTTACTAAACTAATTTCATTAGAATATGCACATTTTGGCCGCTATGGGTCCACCCGGTGGTGGCAGAAACGTGATTTCTGAACGCCTTTTGAGCATTTTCAACGTGATTAATATCACTTTTCCCGACGAAACCAACATTTTGAGGATTTATGGTACCATGCTTGGGCAACATTTGGCCGATTTTAACGAAATCGTGAAAATTGTCGGTCGGGAAATTACCGAAACCACCATAGACTTGTACAATAATGTGACAGCAAAAATGCTACCAACTCCGACAAAAATTCATTATCTTTTTAACTTGAGAGACATCTCGAAAATATTTCAGGGTCTGTTAAGGGCACATAAGGAGTATCACGATAATAGGACTGCACTTCTTCGATTGTGGGTTCATGAGTGTTTTAGAGTGTTTTATGACCGGCTTATAGACGACAAGTATGTTTAAAGTTTGTAAATTCTTTTTTCAATTTTTCTTTAGAGACCGCGAATGGTTTTTAACCCAAATGGGTGACCAACTGGGCAAACATTTCGAATCCACGTTTCACAGTATTTGTCCCAAAAATAAAATCCCCATTTTTACTGATTTTGTCAACCCATATCGAATCTACGAAGACTTGGTTGATATTGCAACGTTGCGCAAATTCTTAGAAGTCCAGATGGAAGAATACAACGTTTCTCCCGGAGTTGTTAAAATGGACTTGGTCCTGTTTGAGGACGCCATGGAACATATTTGCAGAATTGAAAGGGTTGTTTCGCAACCAAGGGGTAATATGCTTCTTGTCGGAATAGGTACTCATATTTTAGAACAAGTTTTGTTGATTTGAAAAAAAATTTCCACAGGGGGTAGCGGAAGACAGTCTTTGTCTCGTATAGCATCATATATTTGTGAATACAATACTTATCAAATTTCTGTGACTAGAAATTACAAAGCTCCGGAGTTCCGCGAAGATTTGAAAACTTTGTATTCAATTACCGGAGTTGATAACAAGGCGACGACTTTCCTCTTCAATGATACTCAAATCACAGATGAGAGTTTTTTGGAAATTATTAATAATATGTTGAGTAGCGGTGAAGTTGCAAATTTGTATAAACCAGACGAATTTGAAGACGTAAGCCCTGATTTTTACAATTTTTTTTTGCTGTGGTAACTATTCAGTATTCTTTTTCCTGTTTCCCCATTTTTTTTATTTTTTTTTTGATATTGCGCTCAAAATCAAGTTTCCTTAAATTCCTATTCTTCCATTTTTATGTTTTATTTGCTTTTTAAATTCCTACTGCTTCTTTACAAAATTTCTTCTCAACAGTAGGTAGGTATCAGATATTTGTGTCGGATCATGATTTTCCTTTTGAACACACTGTCCTAACACTTCCATTCATTTTATGCTGTCAATTTTGAAATATAAGAAATTTTTGTTTTTTTTTCTTCTGTCTTTAAAAGATTCTTCTACTTCATTCTCTACATACACTGTGTCAATTTTAAAACCAATCGGTAATTTCTCTCAACTGAAAAAGTTATTAATCATCACTCAAAACCGTTTTGGTGGTTCCTAGGGGGAATTAAAATGACATGATAAGTAACACACCTCCTCCCACCCTTGAATATAGTAAAAAAAGTGAAAATTTAACGTCTTCGTTTTTGAATAATTCAAAAAATAACTGCCAAATAGGCTTTGTATGACATTTTTGAAAAGCGCTTGTTATGGGCTTTCCAACGATATATCGCAAGTAGGATCGTGCAATTTAAAATTTTCAACTTAAGGTGGCTGTGGCTTGAGGTGGAGGAGCGTCACTTACCATGCCATTTTGATTCCCCCTAAAAACCACCGAAACGGTTTTGAGTGATTCCCAATAACTTTTTTAGTTTTAGAGATATTGGCGATTGCAAGTTTTAAAATTGACACCCTGTATATTATTTTTGAGTGTTTAAATCTTATTTTTGTTTGTTTTAAATTCTTGTTTTTATAAAATTTACTCTCCTTAATTTTGCTTGCTTTGAAGACTTTCTTCTACAACTGTCTTCATTTTTATTTCTTTCCCACTTCTTCTTTTTTTGACTACATTTTTTTTATTTTCGTTTTGCTTTCCAGCTACAGGTTTTTCATTTATTTTTTACATTTTTTTAGATTAAATCGAAATTAGCTAACGCAGCAAAAAAAGCCGGTGTATTCCCCACATCTGAAGCGATGTACAACTTTTTAATAAAACGAGTGCGAGCCAATATGCACATAATTATTTGTATGAGTCCCATCGGGGACGCTTTTCGAAACAGATTGCGCCAATACCCTGCTTTAGTCAATTGCACAACAATCGATTGGTTCTGCGAATGGCCAAAAGTGGCTTTACTCGAAGTCGCAAATAAATACATCAGTGACGTAAACTTTGTCCAGACCATCACTGGCGAAGTTTTGGTAACATTTTTCAAAACCAACATTATTTCATCATAATAAAAATATAAACTAGGGCAAACGACGTGCTTCTGTTCTGTTGTCAAGTCAAGACAGACTACGAGAGGCTGTGGCTTCGACTTTTGCCACAATCCACGATTCTGTGGCTAAATGTGCCAGAAGAATGGCAATCGAAATGAAAAGACACAGTTATGTCACCCCAACAAATTATCTAGAGTTGGTTGCCGGCTACAAAAAGTCAGTTTTGGGGTTTAAGTTTTGCTAGGTTGTAATGAAAGTTTCTAGAATGCTTCAAGAGAAACGCGACGAAATCTCGTCGCAAGCAAATAAGCTCAGAAACGGCTTGTGGAAAATCGACGACTGTCGCAGCAAAGTCCAGTCGATGTCGATCGAACTTGAGGAAGCCCAAGTCAAAGTGGCCGAGTTCCAGCAACAGTGCGACGAATATTTGGTAATAATCGTGGCCCAAAGGAAGCAAGCCGACGAGCAGCAGAAAGAAGTGACACAGAAAAGTATCAAAATCCGGGAGGACGAAGTCCAATGCCAGAAATTGGCCGATGTTGCGCAGGCCGATTTGGACGAAGCCATGCCGGCCCTTGAAGAAGCCATCCGAGCGCTCGACTCTCTGAGCAAGAAAGACATCAGTGAAATGAAATCGTACGGAAAACCGCCCGCAAAAGTCGAGATGGTGATGGAAGCCATAATGATTTTGAAACAAGTCGAACCGACTTGGGCCGAGTCCAAACGCCAATTGGGCGAAATCAACTTCCTCAAAGACTTGAAAGAGTTCGATAAGAATCACATTTCGGATCGGACGCTCAAAAAAGTGGCCAATTACACACAAAATCCGGAATTTATCCCGGAAAAAGTCGGGACTGTCTCATTTGCGGCGAAAAGTTTGTGCCAATGGGTCATCGCAATAGAGAAATATGCCAAAGTTTGGAAGTAAATTGATATATTATTTAGGTTCAAGATGGTTTTAAATTTTTCTTTAGAGTTGTGGAGCCGAAACAAATGAAATTTGACGAGGCAATGGCGTCCTTGAGGGAGAAACAAGCGATGTTGGCAGAGGCTCAGGCCAAATTGGCAGAACTGAATATCATGTTGGCGAGGCTTCAGAAGGAATATGAGGAGAAGTTGGAACAGAAGGAGGAGTTGAATCGGAAGGTAACACTCGCTTTTGACAATACATTTAGTAATTCTGAGGAAAATTAGGCTGAATTGTTGAAAATCAAGCTCGAAAGGGCCTACATCTTAGTCGAATGTTTGGCGGGGGAGAGAACTCGATGGGAAGAAACCGTTGCAAAGCTTGATATTTCGTTCGATTGTTTGCCCGGTGATTGTCTTCTTGCCACCGCATTTTTATCTTATTTAGGCCCTTACGTGTCGAATTATCGCGAAGAACTGATGGAGATGTGGAAGAATGAAGTCGCAACGTTGGAAATCCCCTACAGTACCAATTTCGAGATAATTTCATTTCTGATCGATCCGACAACAGTGCGAGAATGGAATTTGCAAGGCCTTCCCGCTGATGGTTTCAGTACCGAAAACGGAATTATAGTAACAACAGGTGAAAGATGGCCACTGGTAATCGACCCCCAGTGTCAAGCCCAAAAATGGATCAAAAACATGGAATCGGCTAACAATCTCAAAGTGATTGATTTCGGAATGCACAGTTATATGAAAATTCTAGAGGATGCTGTCCAAAATGGCAAACCTGTTTTGCTTCAAAATATTCTCGAAACGATGGATCCGTCCTTAAATTCGATTTTGGCCAAAGCTGTAGTCAAACAAGGTGGAATGAATTTGATAAAAATCGACGACAAGATGGTGTCTTACAATGACAATTTCCGGTTTTTCATCACTACGAAATTGACAAATCCTCATTATCCGCCTGAAATTTCGACAAAAACGACTTTGGTTAATTTTGCCGTCAAGGAGCAAGGGCTAGAGGCCCAACTTTTGGGAATTGTTGTACGAAAAGAGAGACCACAGTTGGAGGAGCAGAAAGATAAGCTTGTGACGGCGATTGCGAAAGGAAAACGACAATTGATCGATTTGGAAAATGAGCTTTTGAGGCTATTGAATGAGACTCGTGGGTCGCTCTTGGAAGATGCAGAATTGTTTAATACTTTACAAACGTCCAAAGCGACGTCAATTGCGGTTACGAAGAGTTTGGAAACAGCAGAAACAACAGAAGTACAAATTGATGCTGCGAGAGAAGTATATAACTTCTTCCTTGGTTAAAATAATCTAACTCCATGTATTTATTCCACGTAGGGTTATAGACCTTGTGCTGAGAGGGCTTCAATTTTGTTTTTCGTTTTGAACGATTTGGGACGGATCGACCCAATGTATCAGTTTGCTTTAGATTCGTACATATTTTTGTTTGAAAAGTCGATTCAAAATAGTACGAAAAGTCAAGTTTTGTCTGAGAGAATCATGGAGTTAAACGACTTTCACACATATGCGGTTTACAGGTAGAAAACGATCGGTGTATTTTTGTAAATTAATTTTCTTTTTTACAAAGAAATACGTGTCGGACCCTCTTTGAGCACCATAAGCTCATGTTTTCGTTCCACATGTGTGTCAAAATATTGGAAAATATGGGAAAAGTGGTCAAAGCCGAGTATAATTTTCTGTTGAGAGGTGGCGTGGTTCTCGATAAGGAAAACCAAATGGACAATCCTTGCTCGGCTTGGTTGTCTGATGAAGGGTGGGATAATATAACCGAGTTGGACAAAATAGCAGGATTCCACGGGATTATCGACACTTTTGAGCAATATCCCAAAGAATGGCATGCATGGTATACCCACACTGAGCCAGAAACACTACCCTTAATAGGTCTGTCTTGTCTCAATAAGAATTTTTCTTTATTTTTATAATTTAGCCGAATGGAACGAAGTTTGTAACAACTTCCAAAAAATGCTCTTCATCCGATCTCTTCGCCAAGACCGAATGTCCTTCTGCGTCACAAATTTTATAATCAACCAATTGGGTTCCAAGTTTGTCGAGCCCCCAGTTTTGGATATCAGAGCCGTATTGGAGGAATCCGTGGCCCAAACTCCTCTAATTTTCGTCTTATCGCCCGGCGTAGACCCCACTACGGCTCTGATGCAATTAGCCGAAAGTACAGGAATGATGCATGCGTTTCAGTCTTTGAGCTTGGGCCAAGGACAATCACCGATCGCAACAAGGTGTCAATTTTTTTATTTTTGGCAAAACTTTTGAACCACAGTTTCAGAATGATTCAAAGAGGGGCAAAAGAGGGTCATTGGGTGTTTCTGGCCAACTGTCACTTGTCCCTAAGTTGGATGCCACAACTCGACAAAATCGTAGAAACTCTACAAACGGGAAAAATCAATCCCAGATTTAGGCTATGGCTGAGTTCCAGTCCTCATCCTGAATTTCCCATTTCGATTCTTCAAGCCGGAATGAAAATGACAACAGAGCCGCCGAAGGCACACCAAATCAAATTTTCTTATCACGTTTTATTATTTTTTTGCAGGGTCTGAGAGCCAATTTGCAAAGACTCTACCAAATAGTCACAGAAGAACAGTTTAGCGTATGCCAGTGTCAGGAGAAATACAAAAAATTGCTGTTTAGTCTGTGTTTTTTTCATGCTATTCTTTTGGAAAGGAAAAAGTTTCAACAGTTGGGCTGGAACGTGATTTATAGTTTCAACGATTCGGACTTTGAAGTTTCGGAAAATTTGTTGACGATTTATTTGGACGAATACGAAAATACGCCTTGGGATGCTCTTAAATATTTAATTGCAGGTGTTAATTATGGCGGTCACGTGACCGACGATTGGGACAGGAGACTCCTATTGACTTACATAAATCAGTATTTCTGCGATGACGTTTTAAACAACCCATACCATAGGTAAATGTTTCTCTAAAATTTCAGTTTTTATTTCTATTGGTCTTATTGGTTTGGATATTCCTTCACGTATCTTTTATCTTTTAAAGATTATCATCGTTGCCAACATATTATATTCCTCGAGACGGTTCTCTTCAATCTTATCAAGACTACGTCAGACTTTTACCAACTATCGATCGACCAGAAGCATTTGGCCAACATCCAAACGCCGATATAACATCTCTAATATCAGAAAGCAGAATGTTTTGTGAAACTTTAATGTCTCTCGAAATTCAAAGTTCATCTGGCGAAAGTGAATCACAAGAAGATAAAGTTTCCCAATTAGCAGCTGAAGTCTTATCAAAAATACCAAATCCTATCGATTACGAAACAACCGAAAAACTAATCGGTGTCGATAAAAAACCACTAGATGTGGTCCTCCTTCAAGAAATTTTAAGGTACAATTCATTACTAATTGACATACGGACATCACTGGACGAGTTACAAAAAGGAATCAAAGGTTTGGTCGTGATGTCGTCACAGTTGGAGGAAATTTTCACTTGTATTTTCGAAGGACGAGTTCCTTCAGACTGGCTTAAAGGTACTACCAAACGTTTTCAAAATCGCAAACAAAAAACTGTTTTGTCTAGCTTACGCATCATTAAAACTCTTGGGCTCTTGGACACGTGATTTAATAGCAAGAGTCGAACATTTCGAAACGTGGGCAAGCACAACCCACCCCCCTTTGTTCTTCTGGCTGTCGGCTTACACCTTCCCGACCGGATTTCTAACAGCCGTTTTGCAGACAACAGCCCGCGCCAACGAAGTCCCCATCGACACGCTCAGTTGGGAGTTTACCGTGATGACCGTCGACGAAAACCAACTGGTCGAGCGTCCCGAAAACGGGGTTTATGTCAGAGGGTTGTTCCTCGAAGGAGCGGGTTGGGATAGGAAGAATGCGTGCTTGATTGAGCCCCAGCCGATGCAATTGGTGTGTGCCATGCCAATGATTCATTTCAAGCCGCAGGAGGTGCTGAAGAAGAAGACAAGAGGTTTGGGGTTGAGAGGCTGGTTTTGAGGAATTACCTTTTGCTTGCAGGGTTGTATTCGTGTCCGTGTTATTACTTTCCGATCAGGACAGGGGCGCCGAATAGACCGGCGTTTGTTGTTGCTGTTGATTTGAAAAGCGGGGCCGAAAATTCCGATTTCTGGATCAAGAGGGGAACGGCCCTGCTCCTTAGTTTGTCGAATTAATTTTTGTATTTATTAATGTTGCAATAAAGTTTTAAAAATTGAAAGTGTCGTATTTGACGTTACAAAATATCAAATCATATCACGACCTACTATTATCTAGCTTTTTTATTTAAAAATTCAAAAACCCCAAAAAATGTGTCTGTAGATCCGGCTTTTTCCATGGAGCATTTCATATGCATGATCTGTGAATGAAATGTCTTTTTATAATTATAATCTTCTACTTAATTCACAAAGTTGTCTGTCTGTCTACACTTATTATCAATATCTCAGCCCCTAATTGAAATATAAAGATGGAACCAACGCCATTCGATAGAGCAGGAAAAATTGGTTTGTTGAAAAATCAAAAAAAATCCAAAATTAAAAAAAAAACGCAAAAATCAAAAGAATTTCTGAAACAAAAATGAAAGACGTTCAAAAATCATCAAAATCCAAAAAGCAAAAATACGGAAAGACAAATCGAAAAAATAAAAAATCAAAAAAAAATAAAATTTAAAAATCAAGAAAATGAAAATTTAAATGATTTCACAAAACAATAAGAAGTATACGCTTTCGAAAATAGCTGTGTTATTTGAGTCCTTACAATGAGCCTTTTCCGGACTATCAATAAATACGTAAAATACTTACTTATTTCAGGTACCCAGTCCCCAAAAACCATTTTTCCGGACGAAAAAGTCAATTTGGTTATTTCAAAACAATGCTGCCACATCAAAAACTCTGTAACTATTACAGGACCACCAACCAAAAACTGTCTTGAAAAATGATAAATGTCACACAAACATAAAAAATTGGACGGTTATTTAAAGTGAGAATTGTTCTTATTTTCTTAAAAACATGCTAAACAGAAGCGTTTATTTCTGTTGTTTTAGGTAAAAAAAATTGCAACCTGTTAAAAGTCCCGAACATTCTCGAACAATCGATCGGCTAGTAAAAATGGCGAAAATTAACACGAGGGTTGTCATGTATGTCCTTGAGAAAAGTAAATCTCCAAAAATTATGCATTTCCAAAACATCACACCTTTTTCGCCATTAGTGTTTTCGAAAAAATCGTCAAAATGAAACTTATTGACAAATCCATTGACAAAGAAGGCCAAGGGTAAGTTCAAATGCTCAAAAAGCCCAATTCAATCAGGAAGTGAGGTTATGTCAAACATTTTGTTAAAAATATCGTTCAAAAATGGGATTTTGTGCACTTTCAGGTATGTGACCCTTGTGCCTGAAGAACCTGAAGATATGTGGCACGCGTATAATCTCATATCGGAGGGGGATTACGTCCGCAGTAGCACAGTCCGAAAAGTGCAATCTGAGTCGTCAACAGGTTCTTCAACATCAAACCGTGTCAGAACCATGCTGACGATTTCCGTTGAAACGATCGATTTTGATACTCAGGCATGTATGCTAAGACTCAAGGGGAAGAACGTCGAGGAGAACCAATACGTCAAGATGGGGGCTTACCACACATTAGATCTCGAAATGAACCGCAAATTCCGCTTAACTAAACACGAGTGGGACTCTGTGTCCCTGGAGCGGGTAGAAATGGCTTGCGACCCAACAAAAAGTGCCGATTTGGCCGCTGTGATAATGCAAGATGGCTTGGCCCACATTTGCCTAATAACCTCCAGCATGACGATAGTTCGGGCAAAAATCGAGGCGTCCATCCCACGAAAACGCAAAAATTTTATCCAACAGCACGAAAAGGCACTGGCGAAATTTTACGACAATATAATACAAGGAATTCTAAGACATATTGATTTTGATATCGTCAAGTGTATCATCATCGCCTCACCGGGCTTCGTCCGCGACCAGTTTTACGAATACATGATTCAAATGGCTGTTAAAACCGACAACAAAACTCTATTGGAAAACAAGTCGAAGTTCATGCTGATTCACTCCTCTACAGGGTTTAAACATTCGTTAAAAGGTTGACCAATCAGTTAATATCTAGATTTTTTCTTGTAAAGTGTGAGTTTTAGAAATCCTTCAAGATCCTGCTGTCGTTAATAAAATTTCCGATACCAAAGCAGCTAGTGAAGTAAAAGCACTTGAAAGTTTCTACACGATGTTGCAGTGTGAGCCAGATAAAGCGTTCTATGGGAAAAAACATGTAGAAAAAGCCAATGAGGCACAAGCGATTGAGACACTTCTTATATCTGATAATTTGTTTAGGTAACATTTCAAAAATTAGTCAGCAAAATTTAAATGAGATTTTTTAGGTGTAAAGATGTTAATTTACGTAAGGAATATGTAAAGTTGGTAGACTCTGTGAGAGAAAATGGGGGCGATGTCAAGATATTCTCAAGTCTACATATATCAGGAGAGCGTAAGTAATTAATTACAATAAATATTTTTGCGTAATGGAATTAATAAAAAAGATATTTTTACTAACTATTAAATAAGCAATACTACATCATTTTTAGTTTAGTTTAGTAATAATTTCGGTATCGGATACATACAACAACTACCTAATTCAAACCACTTTTTTAGATAATAGTTATTTACCTATTAAGGGAATAAGCAGTTTTAGGGTGGTACCTCATAGTTTCTCATGAAATTTTGTCATTGAGCATTGTTTATTAAATCAAACAGACTTTTTTTTAATTCCAAGAATGTGGCGACCGAAAAAAGCGTGGGCAACAGACTAAGCTGATAACATAAAAAATTATAATTAGCCAAATGTGCAATTTTAAGAGTAAAAATCGGCATCAGGGAGTCTGTTTATGTCAAAAAATACTCAAAAGATTTAATGTATTCAATTCCAGTTAATGTTGAGAATAGAAAAAAAAGTTTTTATTTTATTTTCGAGGGAATAAAGCGTTACTTTATGCCCTGCCGGAAGGAAAAATTATTATGCTCCTAGTGCCATTTTGCATATTCTTTATAGAACTAGAACAACTGACCGGCATTGCTGCGATTCTTCGTTTCCCAATGCCCGAGCTCGACGAAGACGACGAAAGCGAAACCGAAGACTAATAACATGTTTCAACACTCCGTGTAATCGTGTTTTAAACTCTTTGTTGATAATTTTTAAATAAATTAGGGAATTTGTTGTATATTTTTAATTGTTATATGAGTAATTATTGTAGATTTTTAGTGAATTCCTTCAATTCTATTTATTTCTAAGATGTACAATTAAGCAACAAAATTATTTATTGCATAACTTAAACCATTAAAATATTTTATGTACTTTATAAAAAAATAAAATAATTATGAAACTGAGGCGAGTTTTTGTTGTTTCTTTTTTGCTTTCTTTTCTTCTTTCTGTTTCTCGTCGTGTAATCGTCGTTTTTTTCTCAGTAACCAAATTTCTTTCGCCCTTTCTTTCCTACCGGCCATCATACTCTTGTATAATTTTCGGTGTTTGTTTTTAACCAGTTTTTCCCTAAGTTTGTATTCTTGTCTTTCTTGCCGACTCTTCTCCCAAGGAACTTCCTTATGTATCTCACCTGGAGTGACTTTTAATTTCTTTTTCGCAGACGAGGTTTCTTCCTCTTCGACTTCTTCCTCCTCCTCCACCTCTTCTTCAACTTGCTCGTTCGTTGTATCCACTTGTTCAGTTTCTTTCTCTTCTTCTTCCTCATCATCACTTTCTCCCTTGTTATGCAACTCCTCCAAAGCTGTGGGATCATATAAAGCCTTTTCTTCAGGAGGCATATACTCCTGATGCCGACCCTCATTAATAAATGGCGATAAATGAGGGGGGAGAATCTCCCCCATAAAATATTTGTTAACAGGGACGAGCTCCCTCGCATTGACACTATCAAAAATCCACTGGGGCTGCACGTAATACCTCGAAATGTACTGTTTTTCCATTGAAGGCCTATCAACAATTTGATGCGTAATCGACTCATCATTTTCATCAAAAGTGGCCCCAACGAAAAGTAGCTTGTCCCATGAGACTTCGCCTCCAAAACAACGAATAATAAACACGAGGGGTTCCCTCGGCACTTCCCGATTCAAAAAGAATTTCAATCCCTTGAAAAGTGTTTTCAATTTTTTGATTTTTTCGGCTTCAATTCGCGCTTCTTCGATTTTTTCCGGATTATCCTCAGTGTTGAAATTATCAATTTCGACCTCTTCCTCAATTGCGGAATTTGTGGTTCTCGATAAGGGGAAATTGAGAGCTGCCACACGTTCTGATACAAAGACACCCTCATCCACGATTTCTTTCTCGCTGTCTGTTTGAGTCAAATTTGAAAATTTTGGCGGATAATAAAGATTTAGTTGGTGGTAAAGCCGAAAGTTGACAAATCCCAACATAATTGTGTAAAACTCAACAAAAGTCGACATTAATTTAAAGTCGACTTCGGCCTTGCTCTGGGGCTCGAATGCGAAATGGTGGGGCACAATCCACGTGATGGTCTCACCCTTAATTTCAGCCTGGTAGTAGTAACCCTTGATTGAAATGAAAACCTTCCTCAACGCTTTGGCCTCTATTACGGCATGCAAAAACTCGATTGTGAGTCTCTGGCATAGCGCGCTTTGGTCTCGAGGGACGTGGGGAATCGATGGAAACGTACTGAACAAAAAACACAGTGTCAGACAATCGTCCAAGTCACGTAATGCGTCCAGAAACGTGGGGTATCGCTCTTTGACAATATGGTCGAGTTTCAAAGTCGGGTGATTATTCAGATATTTTTTTAACGATTCAAAGTCTTTAACAGCTCGAGCCCGACCGACTTTCTTGTTGAAAATTTTGTAATCGCGAAGTCGCCAAATTATGGGTTCGTGTAGCAAAAATTGGATGTCTTTTACATGGTAGAGGGTTTTGATACCGGACTGGCCCTTCTGGGCGCGTTTCCGGTTTCGGGGCTCTCGGGGGTAGATCCCCTTGAGAACGCAAAGCCGCCGGAAGTCGTTGAGGGATAATTGGAGCTTTTTGAGGGCCGCTTTGCGGGTCATGAATTGGGCACCTTCACCTGTTGTATACTACAAAAAAATAAGAATAAAACACCTAAAATGTTAAGTTAAAGCTGTTATTACCTTCTTTTTGCGTTTAGAAACCATTTTTTCACTAAATAACCCACTACAAATATTCTAAGTTAGAAATTTGCCAACACGTGTTGTTTTGAGGTTAGATTCAAATAATGTCAATTGTCATATTATACTAGCAGAATGCATGCGCAAGAATTGTATGTGTATAATTAGTTGCCTAACATACATCATAAATCAATTTTTATTTATACATTTTTTTTTTAATTTATTAACTGCTGAATGATGTTCACTCCAATTTGTTTTATTTAAAATTGTCCGGTAAATTTAGCTTCCCAGCTCCATTTTAAGTCAAGGAAGTGAGTTATTAGCCGGCAAGTTCTACGTAAAAGTCCGGTAAATGATCTATTACGGTATCAGAGCCGGTAAGTGTAACCAAGGTACACTAACATTTACCTAGAGCCCTTATATTTCTAATATAGAAACTGACATGAGCGAAAAGCATTATTAAGGTACTTACTCATCTATATTTTTTAATTAATTAATTATTTGATTAACTTAATACTTGATTCAAATTTTTGTTTATAGTGATTTTCACTTCTGTATAATTTTTTTCAGTCATTTGGTGGAATTCTAGAAAAATTTGATTATTTAAGGCGAAATTAAGAACAAAACTTTAAAATCCGGGGAAATACAAAAAAATCGGCATTCTACATGCTGTGAATTTAGAATTTACAATCAGTAACTGACACTCGGTGCTACTTGAATGTCGGATTTGGATATTTTAAAAAAATTTTAGAACAATAGTCAGTCGATTTTGATACAACAACTCTTTTCATAAGGCCAACTTTAAACAAAAACCAAGGATAAAAGTTTTCGATAAAAGTTTATGTTTTGATGCATCAAGACACATACTATCTCGTAGCCAATTAGATGCGAGCATTTTGACGTCATACCTGACGGATTAAGGGGTTGTATAATCGTACTTTTTAAAATCGTTTTGTTGTGTTCAAGTGTAAAAAGCGCAAAAATGATGATATTGAATTGGATAATATTAAAAGTACTTTGTGACGTGGCGAATGGGGGGATTATGCAGCCCCGAACAAAAGCTTTTTTTGTACCGTTTTTAAGGAAATTATTACAATAACGAGTCAGTCCTAGCCTAGCTCCCGTACGAGTTACTTAAATTGTAATAATTGCCTGGATAAATTATTACCTACATATTATTTGGTGGTTTAGTGCGAGATCGTGTTGATCGTGTGTTGTGTATTTTCGAGTGCTAATAGACATTTAATAGTGCGCGATTTTTAAAACTTTGAGTGATTAGTGAGTGTCAATAGGGGAAATGGAGAAGACAATCGTGCTACAAGGATTCGGATTAAAGGGTTAGTCAACAATATCTTTTATTTAAAAAAAATCACATTTGAAAAATTTTATTTAATATTTTAAACTAATTTAATTACACATTGAACTGATTTTGTGTTTCTTTATTTCAGTAGATTCGTTTAAGAAGCAGAAGTGAATTGCTAAAAAGGGTAGCAGTAGAAGATGCCATAAAGGTTAGTGCATTTTATTTATTTATATTTTTGTGTTTGCAAAGTGAAGTGTGTGAATTTGTGATTTTTTAGTGCAACAGTAAGTATTTATTAAATTATGAATATAAATTAATTTTGTTTTAAATAAAACACAGATTATGTAAAAATGCTTTTATTAAAATAAAAATGATCCACTAAGTTAGAAGCCTAGCCTAACAATGACTATCGCTTACGTACGAAGTACTTGTCCTTACGCCTTATATTTACAGAAAAATAAACAGAACTTTGGTCTTCTCCAGCTATCACAAAAAAATCGAAAATAAAACAAACCTACAATTTTGAATTTTACAATTTTCCTGAGCAACCTAACCAGAAATACAGAATATTTTGGTGCAAAAATATTCCATTTTTTATTTACACACATCCTCGTGTAACCCTATACAGTCTTATCGCTTTTTACAAAACTTTACAATTATGTACAAAATGAGATCAAGAGCCGAAAATTGTAGCAACTTCAAACAGCAACAATTTTACTAGGATCAACTTTAACCCTAATAAACATTGTGTCATCTTTCATAAAGTGCCTCTTTTTCAACATTTCATGGGACACAAATTTGGGGAAACCAAAACCCAAGGAATCGGGTTCTTTACTCGGCCTTTGAAAATTTTTCCAAGTGGGGTCCGGAATAAAACTTTCCACAATATTGCACGCTTTTTCGGGACAGGAGGACTGGTCGAAGAGGGTGAACGAGACGGAGTGGGCGAAGGGCCAACGCAAGAGGGCGTCGTATTCACCTGGAAGGATTTTGATGTAGACGGAAATGTGGGAGTCTTCGCCGGCTCCGTTTCCGTTAGGAAAAAGTGAAGCCTAATAAAAAAAAAAACAAGTTAATTACAGATTATTGTAACAACTGGGTTAAATACCTGAAGCTTGTATCCGTATTGACTAGTATAGAAAGGCGGCGAGACCAACTCCATCCCCTCTTTATTCTTCGCTTCGTTCATTTTTTCGGAAAAGTCGCTGATTTTCCAGATTAGGGTCCCAGAGTAGTTGAGAGATAGCCTCGAGAGGGCATTTTTGAGTGAGGTGATTTGGTGTTGCTGTTTCGTCACAACTGTGCAAACTAGAGCCAAATGCTGTTGACTGTTTTCCTCCAAATGCTTCTCCATTAGGTATCGAGGGCCCTTAAACCGGCACCCTGCGTCCTTGTAGGTGCAACTAAGCACCGAAACCGTGCAATCCTCTTTCAAATGCGCCTCCAAATCCTCCTTTGCGAGCACGTTAACGTCGCACCTGTTGGGGCACGCCACTGGAACCCTTCCACACTTCAGATGGTGCGCCGAAAGTGTGTCAGCGACAAATTCCTTCGAGCAAAATCTGCACGGAAGGAGCCGTTTCGAGCACTCGCTCACTTTGTGCTGGCTCAAGTGGCGTCTTGCGACTTTGACTCCGCATTTGTTTTCGCAATAGAGGGGCTCGTAGCCGCAGTTGCCCGCGTGATTCTTAATTATGGAAAAAATTATTAGATTGGGTGGTTGTGGGGGAAGGTTTTAACTACCTCGAAGACTAGGCCAGTAAATTCCTTGTTGCAGAACTGACACCTGGCGCGCCGTTGAGGACAAGTGGTTTTGAGGTGCTCTTCCATGATGACTCGCGGGATTTGGGCGCCGCATTTGCCGGTGCAAGGGATCGCGTCGTGTTTACACGAGTTTAGGTGCGCCTGGAAGGTGATTTACTCAATTTAGACGAAATGTTGAGTTATTAATAGGAGGGATTTATGTGGAGGCGGAGGTCGATGACTTGCGGCGGGTGATAAGCAGATGGTGTGGGGCTGGCGAAAAGTGGGTACTTGAGGAGAGGTTTAATTAGCTACAGATATGAAAAGTTCTAACCAGAAGTATTTTAATAAAAAAATATACACAAAAATGTTATTCTAAATTAAAAATTTATAACTCTGCAATTGATTTTATTATGTATTGTCCCGCCTTAGCTAAATTTAGCAATTTCAGAAAAAAACACAAGCATTTCATTAAAAATTTGAATACATTTTTATGACTGAAATTAAGTTGGTAACATCAACTGTCAAATTCAAACGTCACACTTTTATAGTCAATTGTCATTGGTTTCCGAGGGGTGACCGCTGGCATAGCCGTCACCTGACACAATCTGATATCACCAACAATTGAGTATTGCCAACTTAATTTCAAAGTGGAATAAGATGAAAAATGATTATAAGACATTTCATTTTGTCAGGATTTGAAAACTTCTTTCTCTATTTCCAAATTAAAGTTAGGAAACTACCAATTTTTTCGTATAATTTACATTTACATATTAATTTCGCTAATGTTTATGTTATTTAAAATTATTTGTTCAAGAAGAAGAATCAAAGTTTAGACCCAAATCAGGAAACGCAGTTATAGGAAATTCCCCGCCTCACGATTAATTCCCCTTTATGTAACAATAATCCTCTATAATTTTTTCAGCTACTTGTCTCTTGCTTGTGCAGCAGAATTGTTTCACTAACGGATTCCAACTTCCGGCAAGTTTCGTGATATCTCCAACTACTTAATCTGCGTTCACCTATGACATTGTTTGTTACATACCTTCAATTTTCTGAGCTCATCTGACCATTTGCAGCCTTCCTTATGGTGAATGCAGTAAACGACAGAGCTCATGATAGCTTTCTCCGACTCGGGGTCGGGATAAATCTGCAACAAAAGACAAAATATGTAAAAATCGGCTTCATCTAGCACCATTATAACGGCACCTCAAACCATTTCACACATCAATGACAAGACTTTCATTCATCGATCATGGTTAATCACCAAATGTGACATCATCGTGTCCTAATAAGTTCATTAAATGCAACAACCTACTTGGCCGATTGAATCATGCCCGTCTCTGGGAAAAATTTATTGCAGGTGCAGCACAAAAGCGGCCATAAATTTGGCGTCGTTGAAATGCAACCCTGTTGGGGGTACACAGAAGTTGCGATTTAGCACGCTTCCAGGTTATACCACCCAAGAATTGCCACCCGCATCAGTGGCCAAAAATACAACTGGATTAAAATAATTAAGAAAAGAGTTAAACACCCACGATTATTAATTCGCACCCAAATATGCAAGTGGGTGTTGGAATCACACCTGTTCCGAGTAAAGTAGACCATTTTTCAACACACATTTCTGTAAACCTCCTACACGAGAAAATTACAAGTTTTGAGTGGTAATAGAGCCAATCGGGATCGTAATGAGAGAAATTTTTGATGGATTGTGGTTCGAGGCTCGATCTCGATTTGTTTATGTGTTTAGTGGCTCATTTGCACTTGTTTAGCCAGGGGAATAAACGGTGATAAATCACATGGGTGTATAAATCAACTCGAAAAATTGAGACGGTTCAAACTGGACTAGATCGGCCCACAATCAGGTGTTAACAATCTCATTGACCGAAAGAGTTCAAACTAGTCTAGATTTCCTGCTTTCAAAAAATTTTTTTAATGGCGAAAAATCCACCTGATTATTATTATTTATTACTGTCGAAGTTATTGTTATTATGAGACTATAAAATAATTAAAAACTTAAAAATCAAAAAAAATTAAAAACAACTTAATATTTGTCAGACGTGCTTCATATGAAATATTATGGGACATGCGCCGTCAAAAACTATAGGAGGTGAAGCAAACTATAAATTACAGTAAAACGAAAATAATAGTATACTATGTAGTTTGATGGTTTTAGTTCTTAAAATTAAAAATTAATTTACATTTTTTTATTTATTTCGAGTATGTTAATTTTATTTACATATTACATAAGGTGCGCCAGAACTCGCGCCGCAGAAAATAATGCAATGGAGGTAATTAAAAAAATTCTGTCTATAAAAATTTCGAAGTTATGAAAGTTCAAATTTTGCACTTTGAATCTATTTATTTCTGTTGTAAAAATAATTTTTCAAGTTTTTTTGCTACAGGCCATTAGAAGAGGAAACAAGAAAAAACATATACAAGATTATCAGTATCATTTTAGACTAAAATAATGTCAAATTTAAAAAAATTGATGTCAAAATTTTTGACAGGTAGAATTTTTTAAACATCTTTCCCTGGTATCTTATTTTACTTGAAATTTTTCTCTGGGGCGCGAGTTCTGACACACCCTGTATGTAGGTAATTATAGTCTACATCAACGTATATTTTGTCACCTTAATATAGTTTTTATAAACGACACTTCATAAGATTATAACTTGGTGTTAATTTATTCCTCGTTAATAATTGAGTTAAAAATTGCTTTATTTAATTAATTGATTCCTACTTTTTTAAATAAATGTCTCATACGTTTGTATAAATTTCTAATTATTGTTTAATTTAAAAAAATAAACAAATTGTAATAATTTTAATTAAGTTTTGCATGTTAGAAGTTTTTCTAAAGTAGTTGACACATTATACTTGTTTTAAGAATTACTTAGTTTTCTTTTAAAACTACTAAAAGTGATGTCACAATATGTCGTAATGGTGGTTTTAAATCTGATAAAGTACCACATATTTCAAAAAACCTTTCTTATTCATCAATGAAACCGCTTTTAACACACATTTTGTGCTTATCAATAATATTTCAAAAAATAGGTCACTCACTAATAGTAATAGATAATAAAATATTTTGTATTAAGAATAGATAACAAAAATAGTAACAGTAATGAATTGTTTTCAAATTAAATAATATTTAAAAATAGTTTTAGTAATTTAAGATACACACATGTATGAATTTTAATCAATTAATACTTAGTTTTCGCAAATAAAGTTTCATTACACCACAGAAACTTAACTGAAAGTTTGCATACATCACAGATTAAATAAATGGTAGTATTCCCCTTAATAACAATTATAAATTTCTAGATAATTTAACTGAAATCGTAAAATAAAATAAAAAATAAGAAAGTTTGTTTATAATTACACTCATGATAAAAATTTTTGCACTACTAAAAGTGAAATCAAGAAATCCATTTCCCTTTTTTGTTACAGTTTTATGGATATTTCTTATAAATGAAACTTTGCTTTGGGTGGTCTACCAGTAAAATAATAATTCCTTGTACTCGATGTTCCACTAAAAGAGCCATTTTATGATACAAATGAGCCAAATAAACACCGAAATGAGAAATGTAAACGAGATAACAGCCAAATTCTCCGAAAGATTAACCCCAACTTTCACCCTTTCGCTTATCTACCCTTGTTTGAGAGAACACTAATTTTCAGTACTTTGCCCTAATGACCTTGTTGGTCACTCGCAAAACAAGTAAAAGTAGTGCAAAATAATCATTTTGACATAATTGCGTTCTCGCTTAACGGATCTAAGAGGTCGAACAGGTTGATTTAGCTTTTCTCAAAGACATCTCAAGTCGCGACATGAGGCGCCTGATTACTATTACCTGTAATTATGCAATTAATCCTGACCTGAATTTCAAAGGAAATTAAAACAACGACAAGGAATATAATGATATTGCGATATGCTCTCTTAATTTAACTATTATAATGATTTAATTCCGGTTATGAAATAAAAAGAACGCGCCTAGAACGAGCCATGGAAGAATAATTCCAAAGGAAGTCAAATTTCTATTAAAAGCCGCATTTATGAACGTGTCATCAGAGCAAACCGCAACAATTGCACAAATAACAGAAACGTAGTGTTGAAGCAATTTCGCCCAACTTGTCGCTGCAAGTCGAAACTTGCTCATTCTTGCAGAAATCCTGTTTCTCCAAGCCAATTTCGGCCAAAAATCACTTACTTGATTAACTTCATTTAAAGAACTATTCTTCATGTTGTTAATCTCGTTTTTCGATTGCGGTGATAACGAAGTGTTACTGGGAGTCGGTGTAATTGTTGGACTTCCAGGGTTGCTAATGACACTTTCTTTTGAGCTTTTATTGGGCGAAATCCGGGCCGGAAAACTCAGGGTTTTAGTCCACTGGACTAGACTGCGGACCATTTTTAGAACACTCACTCCGTACCGTGCGCATCAACGAACCAAACTGTTTTCTGTTCTTCTTGTACTCAATCGGCCTTTCGATGGCCTTTCTCCCACTCTTTGTGTGTTTGAAAAACAGCTGTTGCTTGTAATTGTGCTCGGAGGTGGGAGTTCCTAACGTATTTTCAGTGATCCTTGCAAGGATCCTGATTCTCAAAGGCCGTTATACGATTTCGATTTCGTACAGATTGAGGTTTTTGATTTGTGAAAAAGGCCCTTGCTCGAATTTTGTTATGTTGGTAAATGTCAATTAATTTCCAAGTTTAGATATCTCGCGAGATCTTTAACGGTTTTACAATTAATCCGTTCAAACGTTATAGTTATTTCGCTCTGGTTGTGGAATCATTTTCATAATCATAACACACAATTATGTAAAATATTAAGTTCCATGCACTGTTTCATAAAAATAACATTTTTACATAACATTTATCTTCTGTAACGTAATTTTGATTTAAATTGCTGAAACCGTGTTAAATTGTTACATTTATCGTACAATAAATAACAATGAAACTAGAATCTTGATGTTTTTCGAGAGTTGATAATTTTTCGAAGATGAATCATTCAGTACACACAAACTCGTAAAATTTTATTTATAATGCCACAAACTAGACCAAAAATTAAACAAACCGTAAAAACCATTACCAGTAGAACAAATAAAAATTAACGTAAATTTATCAACAAAAAAGTGAATGACAATTTTGGAATTTTCTGTATAGAGGTGATTTTAAAATTTGTACAAGTATTTTAACAGGTGATAGTAGAGCTTAAAAAAATCAAAATAACTCAACTTACCTTATCCGAGTGTTTATAGTTTTTGAGATATAAGAGGGTTTTGTTTGTCGAATAAACTGTGAGATAAATTAAAAAGTAAAGAGTTGAAACTTATATATTGCTTATATTTCAATTTTTTCGAGGCCAAAGTGGAGATTGCACCCTCTATCTCAAAAACTGTAGAGATTCGGATAAGGCAAGTTTAGGTATTTTGACTTCTTTTAAGCTCTACTATCATCTCTTATACAAGCTGAATAAAAAGTATGGAACCAAGCGGTTTTTTTAGATCATTTGTCTCCAGATTATAATAATTAATATAGATTAAAGTAATATAAAAAATGTAATCGCATTTTAAGAACGAAATTTTGTTTTGTTTTGAGTTACGCGGTTTTTTTTTTTGTCAAAATTGCAATTGATGTAATTTTTTTTTTAAGTTAAATATAAGGTAGGTAGTTGTAATCCTTAGATCATAACCTTTACGAGAAAAATGGTTTTATACTTAGTTGCGATTTAAAAAAATTAAAAATTTTATAGAACTCAAAATCAAAAGAAAATTTCGAAAAAATTTATTCTTGATAAAACATCACATTTTTATAGTACTTTATCATTCATCAATTAGTTTTTACAAAATAAATAAAAATAGTTTAAGCAAAAAACGTGTGGTTCCATACTTTTTAATCACCTGGTATATTTACGCATACTAAAATCACCTCCTACATAGATACAGAGTGATTAATCTAGAATTGTTTTTGTCACCTTGTCAATTAATTAAATTTATCATTACCTTCTTGTTTTTTTTTTCTAATGAATCATAAGTTTTCTTCGATTCTTTTACTCAAAAAGCTGAATTGTTATAAAATCGCTATTATAAATACGTGTTTCCATTTTAAATATACCTTGTTTTGATTAGATACAACGCAATAATTTT